TCTTAATATCCACCCATAGTATAATAACAATATAACACACACATATACACATTTCTTATAATTATCGCTCTCAGTGCGCGCATGCATCTCTTCTACATATCTATTCTATATAATTATAAAGTTATATTTTTTTTCAAACATTTATTAACTTTTGTCTAATATAAAATAAGTATAAAAAAAAAAAAATATTTATATAGAAATTTTGATAAATGGTTGAAAAAATGGCTTCACATTTTAATCTCTTAAACTGATCTTCTAGATGTGTTTCCGGTGTATATAAGGATTTCTACCTTCAGGGAAGTTTCTATGCTTATTATTACAAGAGGCGTCAAATTCTTAGCCTAGCCTTGAATTGATTTTTGAAACTCATACTTTCAGTATATATCCGTAACTTATATGTATGAAAATATTATCTGTTAAAGTTTGCGATTTCTCTTTACGGCAATCGTCTGGGAAATCACAGTGGGATACTTTTTATTATTTATATATGTATATAACTCTTTAAACCATATTAAATTAATTTTAATTCTATTTTGCAAATCAAAGTCTGAATATGGCTGAAAAATACAAGTGTTATAATTTCAATTTCTATGATATTATAATAATGATTGTACACCAATTTTAATTAATTCAGAAAGGCACATAATGCTAATTTCATTAAACAAAAATGTGTTATCGAATTGATATTAAAAATTAATATTTTAAAAGATTGATTAAATATGTTTATATATATGTAGATTTTAGATTTGATTTTAGATTAAGATATAGATTGTTGATGATAGGTATATAGGATTTTTGTTTCTTCCGGTGTCTGGTTTTTGTTTTCTTCACTCTTGTATGTATGTATATTTTGCGGGAGAAAGACGTTTTATATATATAGATATAGTTATATTTGCCATGTATATGTTATTGACACACAATTTCACTGCATCCCATATGCATGACATATTATCTCTCTCGTTACATAAAGTAGTGCACGCAAATACACGCAATTGCCTTACGACAGAGATAATGATCTATTAATTGAACGTATCACTTTCTAATTTTTCTCTCTTCTTGTTTATTATACATACGTTACTCATCAATTACCATCTATAGTGGATGACAATAATTGTGTGCTACTTTAATTAATGTCACGCCATCGATTTTAGACCTATGTATATATAGTTGAACAATTTCAATATATTTAAATTGTATTCTTCCATTTTCTGAATTGTGAATATCGAGGAAGTTAGAGCAGTAATGTTCAAATTATATATATAAAAAAAAGTTGAGTTTTTGTTCGACTTGTGCTATTTTGTGCAAAAATTCAGTTTTTAAAGAAAACTCGAAATTCCGGGCAAAAAAAAGGGTAAAAAACTTTTTTTTTACTATAACTGAAAATTATGACTTTAATCAAAAACTATAGTGGAAAAAAATTGGGTGCAGCAGCTGCTCCAAACAAAAAAAAAAATAGTTTTTTTCTAGAAACTCAAAATTCCGGGCAAATAAATCAAAACTTTTGTTTTTCATTACAACTGAAAATTATATCTTTATAATAAAAAAAAAACTTATTTGTGCAATTTACGTTTAAATGCAAACAAATTTGTGTGTTGAAATAAAAAAAAAATAATAGTTTTTTGAGAAACTCTATTTTTTTTCTATTATAACTCCAAATTATATCTCAATTAGAAAACTATCAATTGTGCTGATTACTTTCCAACATAAAAAAATTTGTGCATTGAAATAAAAAATAGTTTTTTGAGAAATTAAAAATTCCGGGTAAATGAATAAAAAAATTTTATTATAACTCCAAATTATTTCTTAAATCTGAAACTATAAAAATTATGATTATTACGTTTCAACGCAAATAAATATATGCAAAAAATAGTTTTTTGAGAATCTCAAAATTTATTTTACTATAACTGTAAATTACATTACCATCAAAAACTCTCAATTGTAATAATTACGTTTCAATGAAAACAAAATTTGGTTAAAAAATAATTTTCTCAAAAACTCAAAATTCCGGGCGAACAAATCAAAAAATAATTTTTTTAAATGTAATTGCAAATTATTTCTTATATCGATAACTATTAATTGTGTTAATTACTTTTTAATGTAAATAAATTTGTGCAAAAAATAGTTTTTTAAGATTCTCAAAATTCCGGGCAAAAAAATAATTTTTTTTAATAACTCAAAATTATTTCTTAAATCAAAAACTAATATTTCTGCTGATTATTTTTTTAACGCACTTAAAATTGTGCAAAAAATAGTTTCCTGAAAAACTCAAAATTCCGGGCAAACAGATCAAAAATAAATTAACTTTTTACTATAAGTGCAAATTATTTTTTAACTCGACTATCAATTATTGTTCTGATTACTTTCCAACGCAATCAATTATTACTAATTCATAACAAAATCGCGTAGTAAAAATAGTTTTCAAATTAAAACGCACCATATTCAAAATCCTGGTATTTCATAAATTTTGGTAAATTGCAAAAATAAAGCTTCTAATATTGTACTCGTCCAGCACAAAAAGAGTCAACTATAAAAATTAACTAAAACTTCAATATTTTTCAAAAATAATTCAATTTTAAAATTCTACTATTCTTTTCATTCTGGAAGAGCACAAGATTCAGTACAAAAATTAATTTTGAAAAATATTATTTTAAAAAAATTTTAGGGTTAAAAAATCAATTTTTAATTTTGAAAATTTAATTATTTTGAAAAATTATTAAATTTTCGTAAATTTTATAACTGTTTGGTTTGTTTTTAAACATTTTCACATTGCAAGTGATTGGAGGTTAGTTTAAAAAATTCAATTTTTTCAAATTTAATTATTGTAAAATTAAATAGGTAATTTAAAATTTAATTATTTCTGCAAATTAAATTTTCTTTCGGAAATTTAATTCTTTTCATATTCAATTATTTCTTAATTACTTTATGTAAACAAGATTTTATGTGAGTATAGTTTATAATAGTAAAGAAATATAGCAAATTTTTAATATTTATTTATATATATATTTATATATGTAACTCTTTTGTATGAATCTGTGATTCTAAACAATTAAACTATTATTATTATATTATTAGTAAAGAAATATATTTGTTTGGAAAAAAAAACTTTTTTCACACTTTTTACGTTAGAAAAACAATTGTATGTTTTTGCAGATGAAAATTGCGATACTGGAATTGTTTCTACTTTTTTCAAAATCGAATAAGAAAAATAAAAATAACTAAAAAAAAAAAATAATTGCATACAAATAGTTTTAAAGATCAATAATAATTGAATTTAGAATTTTTTTTTAAATTTTGATTAATTTATGAAAAAAATTATTTAACTTTTAAAAAGTTTTGTTTTTAATTGTAAATTTAAATAAAATATGAATTTATATGATAAATTGATAATTAAAATTTCATTATTTTCATTGCATGCCTAATTTGAATTTTCCCAATTATATTTAATAGTTGTATAATATATATAGTAAAATGTGTTGATCATGTCAAATTAAGGAAATATTAATATGTATCTAATTCGTTACGTAGATATTTCCTTTTACATTTGGACTACGTGACTTTAAACATATATATAGGTTATGTGAAGAATGAAGAATTTTATGAAATTAGGCAATGAATGTAAACGAAATTTTTTTTTTTTGTTATGACAGATAGACAATTTTCGTAATTAGTTCCGGTGTGACTTTTTGAATTTTTTCTTTTCTTCATTTCTAATTTCACGCTCTTCTGTATATAGAATTTTAAACTCGTGTGTTTGTGTTAAAAAAAATATTGTTGACATTCAAACAATAATATTTTCATAAAAATTAAATTAAAAATTTTTAATTTTGTAATCATATAATAGAATTTTTTTCTTTCTTGATTGTAACTGTAAATTTTTTTTTTATAAAACGTACGATGTAAATTTACGGTTTATATATATATATATAAGGCCAAGGACTTATAGCTATCGTTAAAGGGAAATCAAGCCATTATCTTTCCTAGTTTAGAGCAACTGCAAATAAAAGTAATTGCATCCTTATAACTCTTCCGTCTTATAATAGAAACCGGAATTTAAAGTGTTCCGTTCCTCATTAAAATCTTATTTATTGTGTTTCTTTTTTTTATATAAATCTGCAAACAAACAATTATACTTTCTAGAAAAAAAAACTGTGATTTTTTTTCGTCAGTTTTGACAAATTCTTAATATGATAATTTATCGATTAGAATTAAATTAAATTATATATATTAGTGAAATTTCTACTTGTTTTAAACATATATATATATATATATATTTGAAAATAATTATCTCTATATATAATTATTTTTAATTTTTTAATAATCTATCATCACTTTAATTTAAATTCATCTCTAATTTAATTTAATGTTATATTTGATTTCATTTTAATTAATTAATTGCGTGAAATGAAAATCTGACAATTTTTCATGTATATATATATAATGCATGTGTGAAATAATAATTTAGCTTTCATTACCCTTTGAACTTGCACGTATTGCGCGCATCTCTAAAAACACGTTTGTGGAAATCATTTATTCTTTCATGTGCGAAGAAAATTAAAACACGCGTGTAATTTAATCTAATTATACACATCATTCTTTCTCGCTTATATTTCGTATTATTCTTTTGCATTAAAAACTTTCTGCTATTTTTGCAAAAAAAAAATTTTCATTAAATGCGTCATATATATAGACCAAAAAAAAATAAATTGTATCAAATAATTAAAATAGATAATTGAAAGAAATTTTTAACACTTTTGATATGTAAACTTTCTGGTTTGAGATCTTTTTAATAATGAAAAAAATTTTATTACGATTTATTCAGATTTTAATATTCTCTTAACTATAGGTACTAATTTATTACTTTAATAATTAATTAAATTTTTAATTAAAATTTATTTATTAAATTATTAATTGGTTTTTGGTTACATATACATTTTTTTCATATTGCATACTACATTTTTTCTAAAATTATACTATTCATAAATAATAATAATCCACAATTGCTGTTTTACAAAATGATTAAGTATTTGGTTAATAAGGACAATATTTTTATTCGCATTTAACATTTTTATTATCGGTAATAAACTTGATAATTAAAAGTATAGTTAATAAAAACAAATATTTAATTTAGTAAAAGTTTTCTTAAAATTCCCAAGAGTTAATTACAGATTTCTATAATTTATTTATCGTTATTTCAACAACGTAAATTAAAAGAATTAATATTGAATACAAAACGCAGATAATAAAAATGAACTAAGAGAATGATTTTTTATAACGACAATAATTAAAGAAAAAACGCAACCATAAACTTCCAACACATAAATGAGCTTCTTTGGTATTTTATTTTCATATATAAATTAAATACAAACACACAAAAATATATTTAAAAAAAAAAATAACTAGACTAGGTTTTGAAGGCACATGTCAAACTGAGCAAGATAGTTTAGAATATTTACATGTCTGATTAAAAAAGTAGAAAAAAATATAATTATATAGAAGTCTTGCGTGAAACTATTCACTTTTGTTAAGTTCGCACACCTAAACATATCTACTGTCATCTACCGACTTGTCTGCCTTTAACCCGCCAATCTTCCTTGATCATATCGCTAGCTTTCTCACCAATCATAATAATAGGTGCATTCGGATTTCCGCTCATTATCACTGGCATGATGGATCCGTCCACGACCCTTAAACCTTTAACGCCATAGACTCGTAATCGAGGATCAACAACTGCCGTTGGATCAGTTTTTGGACCCATTTTACACGTTCCCGTTGGATGATAAATTGTAAATGTAAAATGTCTAATTGCACACTCCCAATATTCATAGGTGTCAAATGTATACTTTTGACAGCCAGGCATTTTTGTTCTCAATGGCCTCGAGCCAAATCTCTGAAATGCCGAACTATTTGATACCGCCATTGCTATTCGTATTCCTTCAACAAGCACATCAATATCCTCCTTGTGTGTAAAATAATTAGGATTTATGTCAGGATACACCAATGGATTTCTACTACGAAGTCTTATCCAACCGGAACTTTTTGGTCTCAATAATAATGGTAGAATTGTCCATGTCTCGGCATTGACCAAAGGCTTATACATTGTATTATAGACACTGTCTCTTAATGCCAAAATTTTACGTATCTGATCGCCACCATCTGAATTGACAGAACTTGGCGCAAAATGAAATTGTATATCTGGAAATTCACCTGATTTATCGGCATAACGTGAATTAACAAATGCCAAACCCTCAACGCCAGGCGTTGTCATTGGTCCTCTTTCATTTAAAACATATTCCATCATTACTGGAAATGTTTGAAAACGTTGTTTCGTTACTGTTATTGGTTCATTAACGAGAAATGTTAAACCACCAAGACCCACGTGATCTTGTAGATTATCACCAACATGAAGATCAGCTATAACTGGTATTCCAAATTGTGTTAAATGCTCCTTATGACCAACACCCGATAACATTAATAATTGTGGTGAATTAATAGCTCCTGCCGAGAGAATAACTTCTCGTCGTACTTTTATTGTTTGTTGTATTCCATTGCGAAGAAATTCAACACCAGTTGCTCTCTTTTCAGCATTGAAGACTACTTTCAATGCTTGTGCATTCATGGCTATATGAAGATTTCTTCTATTTCGCACGGGACGTAAAAATGCCTTTGCCGTGGAACATCTACTGCCACGCCTTATTGTTGCTTGTGATAACATAAATCCAGTTTGATTAGCGCCATTAATGTCACGATTCTCGTAACCTAATTCTGCACCAGCTTGAAGAAAGGCTATGGATAGGGGTGATCGCCACGGTGATTCCTGAACGGTTAAATAACCACCTGTACCGTGATAGGGTGTGCGTGCAAGATAGGGATTTCTATTGTCCTCTGATTTAATGAAATACGGTAACACCTCATCGTAACTCCATCCAGTGTTTCCGAGTTTCGCCCAATTATCATAGTCAAGTCTGTAAACAATATTTTCTTTTTGAGTATACATATTTTACAGGTAAAATATTCATTATTTCTAAAATTTCAATTAAGAACATCAATTCTTAACACTCATTAAGTTGTTGATATTCCTAGTTGTAGTTCTTCCTAGCGAAAAGCTATTGGTGATTACTCTGACTTAAAATTACGCACTGGCTTGACTTCAGCATGACACTGAAGTTACCAACGTTGATTCGACGAATCAACGAACGAATTTTTTGTTTTCATAGTTTAGTTTAAAGGCCAAGAACCAATTTTTTAAAATTGAAACTTCTTTACTTTGGTCCCAAATACATCCTTAAACACTAAAAATCCTCAACCAAGACGGGGAAATATTCAATCTGAGGAAAAAAAAATTCTTTTCGTCGATTCAACGTTGGTAACTTCAGTGTGATACTTCAGCCTCGAACCCAACTTGAGATCGACTGGTGTATATCCACTCAGTGTTACTAAAAAAAACTGGAATACACAATTTCTGAAACTTCCATAAAATGAATCCACAATTAGGCGGCAACAATCCGAATTTACTTGGATCAAAAATCTTGATCCTAAATGAATGCAGAATAATCCAAAATTTGTAGATAGACAATGAGTAAACCGAAGATAATAATCCGGGTGTCGATTATGTAATTTGATTTGATTCTGACGTCAAAGTCAAATTCACTTTAACGTCAAAATAAATTCAAATTTGACGTCAAAATCAAATTACATAATCAACACCCCGAATTAAGTTCCGTCGAAAAATGGAATTCAAAATAAATTAAGAATAATCTGATATCTTTATGTAAAATGTCTGGCATTAGTTTAAATTTAAAATAATCCCGAAATCTCTGTTTAAGGAATCTTCATTTAGTGCGCAACAGTCTGATTTTAGTTTAGTCAAAAATCCGAATCCGAAATGTGTCTGCAATTGGTTCGTATAATAATCTAAATCTATTTTGCAATCAGTTGGAAACAATACAAATGTTGTCAAGTTAAAATTTATTAATTATTAATATTATTAAATAGTTATATCAAAATCAGAATGTAAAAATCCGGTATTAGTTAGCAACAATCTGCATTTAGGCAGGCCAAATTGTTTGCACTTGTTTGTGTTACTGTTTTGTTCTAAATGCAAATTTTTTTTATACAGATTTCAAATTATTTTAGACTTATTTTGGATCCAGATTTTTGAAGGGAAAGAATTCGCATTATTGTGCACTTAATGCTTTTTTTGCCTCCTTACGGAAAAAGCATTGGAATACCAAAAAATTTCAAAATAGAATATTTGACCATACTAAAATCTGATTCTTCGGGCCTATTAACTAATTTTCTACATACAGTTTTTAAATTATTCGACGAACTCATTTTGGATTAAGTTGCCTGTATAGAAATCTGTTTGCGGATTGAGTACACATAAATTTTGCTTTATTCCAAACTCATTGCGGATTATATTTTTCAATCAAACTAAATTTTTATTGTTACAGGCTAATTACGGATTGTTGAGTTCTGTTTGCGGATTGTTTATACATAAATTTCGGATTATTCCAGACTGATTTTGAATTACATTTTTCGATCAAACTAAATGCAATTTGTTACGGATTAATTGCAGATTGATTGCATGTATACATTTTCGAATTGATCTCAAATTTTTCTTGTCGTTCGAGACTGATTTTGGACTACTGTGGATAATTTTCGGACTGTTTTTATAGAATAATTTAAATCGAATCTACTCAATAGTCTGAATCTGTAATGTACCTAAAATAATCCAACATTCTGTATGAATAGCATCTGCAATTAGTTCGAATTTGGTCCGATTTGGGTGACTACAGTTAATGCCGGAATTAGTGCAGTTAAATTCGAAATTAATTCTACCAGTGTAATTAGTAAATGCGAATCCTCATTTACTAGTTGCATTTGAGCAAACAGATGTTCACTATAGTGAACCGGATTAATTTTTATCTAGATAGAATTAAATCCAGATGACAAAAATCTGACTATAAATCTAATTGTTTTTGAACTAATTTTAGATTGGTTATTATTAGTTAATTTTAATTTTATAAACCTAAAACATCAGATTAATGAAAAATTTTCATGTTATTTAATTCAACAACAAAAAAATTACTATATAAATCCTATTATTGTATAAAACTAGTTTAGTGACATTTGAACCAGTTCATTTAATTCATTTATAAAATTCAGATTACATAAAATAAAATGTGTTAAGTTATATAACTTTAGACAAGGATGAGGTTTACGATGCAGAAAGTCTTTGTGGTTAGTATTATACTTCTTGACTACTTTAAAAAGCACTTAACAGGTTTGCTTCAAATCATTATTATTCTTAATGTTCTCTAGACATAAATTGTTTTCTTGTGTGTGTATATATATATATATATATATATATATATATATATATATATATATATATACATAAAGCAAAATGAGTATTTGTACTGATTCATTTTATCAGTTAACTTTTAGAAAAAAATTGTCATTGTCTTTTTTTCAAAAAAATTCTTTACCATTATTATAATAGAGTACAGTTATTGACGTACCTATTTCCTCGAACGTAAATCATAGCATTTAAAACGCTACTTCCACCTAATACTCTTCCTCGTGGCCAATTGCATCGATCTCCAACCATGGCAAGGCAATAAGCCGAAGTTGTTGGAGGCGATGTTTTATATTTCCAATCAAATTCCGATAATTGGGTATAACTAGCCAAAGCTGGTACGTCTGATATTTCATTTTCATCTTTGCCAGCTTCCAATAATAATATATTCCAATTTGTAATTTCTGATAATCTTGAAGCAACTACTGCACCGGCACTTCCACCTCCAACAATTATAAAATCATACATTGACAATAGCTGTGGGAAAAAAATAAAGAAAATTTTACATTTTTGTTGTATTTTAATAATTTTTAGACTTGCAAATTTATTTTTATTTCAATTACTCAATAGAGAGATATATAGTAAGTCGCAATTTACATAAGGACGAAAATTGCTTCAATTGTCTGAGAAATTTTCGCCCTTATGGTAATTGCGATTTATTGTATAGGTTAACATTGAGCAACTAATTTATTGTAACTTTTTATCTTATAAATATGATAAATATTTATATAACTTATTAATATTGATTAAAGAATCTATATAAAACAGAATTGGAAAATATCACTTTTTTAAAAATCTAATATTTTTTTTTTTTTTTTTTGAAGAAGTAGCGCTTTTCAATATTATTTTATGATCAGTGTTTACTTTGCTGTTTAAAAATTTAATTTTATTAGAAAATTTTACTTTCTATTTTCTTAGAGATTCTCTGACATAACTTATCCTTGTCCCTAACACTTTCATGTTCAAATTTGTGTCAACCAAATTTACATATTATCATAAACAGTTGTGACTTTTTTTCATTACTGCAATATTTTTTAATTGTAATAATTTTTAAGAATCTGGTCGCTATTTCGAGACGTTTTTAGCATTATTGTTTAAATAAAAATTTTAAAGCACGTACATAAAGAAACATTGCTTCAAAATTTGAAGAAAATTTAATGAAAATTAATTCTTTAAATAGCATTCGAATAATGTTCTTATATAACTATTTGCAATATAAGGATACTTAATTTTTAATTATATAACTAACGAGAATTCTAGTTATTTTAATCAGAATTTTTTTTTTCAGTGTAATTTATTAATTTTTCAAGGCAAGTTTTGGTTCAAAGTTTGAGATAAATATTAAAATAAGATTTTTTATTTATTATTATAACATAATTTTTTTCTGAACATTCTAGATAAATAATTTTTTATTATATTACATCACACAACGACGTTTCAGTACCAACGTTGATATTCTTTTCAAGTTAATACAACATATCTAGGAAAAACCAAAAAAATTCTGAAATATAACATAACCTATAATTTTGATCTGACATTTTTAAAAAATTATTTTTTTGTAATTTACCAAAAATTTAGAAAAGGAATTTGTAAACGAACATACTTCTTGTAAAAAATGCATGTCCTTTTTTTTATTCATTGAAGAAAATATCTATAATTTTTATCCAGAAAATGATAGGAAAAATTATACGTAATTTTTATCCTAGTTGAGGACGCCACCGTCCATGCGCTTTTAGTCAAAATTAACCGCAACAAAAATTATAGGTATTTTCTGTTTTTTAAATTTTACAGTTTAAAAATTTACAGTTTAAATTGTTCCCTTTTTAGGAGAAACAAAGAAAAATAATATAATAATAATTTTTGGTAATTTTTTTTTTAAAATAGACTGTATAGAAGTTTTGAAAAATTAGAGATCAAAATTATAGGTTATGTTACAATAGTTTAATTTTTTTTTTTTTATTTTTACTAGATATTTTGTAATGACCTGAAGCGGATGCCAACGTTGCTATGGAAACGTTGTTGTGTGACATAATATAAAAAATTATTTATCCAGAATAGCCTGAAAAAATTAATTTTACAATTATTATTATTGGATGGAAAAACTACAAGTATTATAATATAGTTATAATTCTGATAATAATTATTTTATTAATTATTACCTCTTGAGCATTGGACGGATGAGTTTCAGGATCGGCATTTTGATATCGAAAAACACTGAAACCAATTGCAAACAGTGGTACTAAACTCCATCCTAAAACCGATGCGGTTCCAGCCAAAGTAGACAATCCCATCGGCATTTTTTTTTTTTTTTTTTTTTCTCACTCCTTGAGATATTCATCAATTAATTAATGTCACCGCTTTATAATGAGAATTCATGTCCTGGTAACCTGAAATTTAAAAATTTATTTAAATTCTTCAAAGAATATTATACTCTCTAAATTTAAATTTAAATTCGTTTACTAATTTCAATTAGTAAAAATTTCTACTTATTTTTAATCATTTTTCATTAAAACTTTAGTTAAGAAAAATATTACTAAATCGAATAGTAATTTTTTTTAGTAAACATAAGTGAAAATTTTAATTTGAATTAATGAAAAAATCTTTATTAATTAAAATTTAGAGATTGTATATAATTTTGTAAATTAATTACCAAAAAATTATCAATTATTAAGTTAGAAAAAAATCTATTTTGTTAGTTATTAAGACCATAACATAACCTCAAATTAAAAAATGATTTTTAACCCTAGACAGTACAACTGTGGTACATAAGTACCCCAGAGGAAATTTAAACTACGGCCCTGGCTCTGTAAGCTTAACTGTCATGGCGGCACCCTAACCTTAATTCAGTTTAGTTTTAATTTTAAACCCTAATGGCTATTTTTTTATAATAACTACTTTGTGATCATTCAAAATTTCCGTAATGTGTTTAACTTGATCTTCCAAAATTTATTGAAATTAATGTTTCTAATATTTTTGTTTGCGTTATAAAACATTTTTTTTTAGTTTTTGAGGTTATGTTACGGTCACCATCCTCCTTAAGTTAGATTATAGAAATAAATTTTATAATAATAAACAAAATATAAATAATTAAAAAATAATAATTAAAAAGTAAATTATTAAAAAATAAAATATATTTTCAATATGTAATTAAATTCGAAATAAAATTTAGAAAAACTTTTTCTCTGGAAATAATTATGAATTTTTTTTTTCTTTTAATTTAATCTAATAATAAAATACTAAACAACTTTAAGAAGTACATTTTTTTTCATAAAATGTGCATGACTTTAAAGAGTTAATAGTCCACAATTTGTTGGACATAATGAATCAAGATTAAGTCCATAAAAATGATAATATAGAAGAGAGCTTTCTGAAATGTGAAAGTTTTTTTTTTGTATTTACCATTTTGTAAACAATGTACTTATTATATATTTAATTCAATTATCTCTTGTATATCATTGAATTTTCAATGACCCATTTTCTGACGATATATTTCAAATTAATGAGATTTCAACAAAACTCAATAGAAAAAAAAAATTATAAGATTTGCACCACACTAATCGTAGGTCTTACTAATAAATGAATGACAAATACAATAATAATAATTGCAATAAATTTTAATTGGTTGAAGTATAGTGAAATTAAGTAAATGTCTGACTTATAGAATTCTGCATGAAAAACAGTATATATATATAGATAGATAGTTTAAATTCAATGCCTTCTGTCACTTTCTTTACTTTCTTCAAAATTTTTTTTTTCATACAATAAATAACTATCAAAAATTACTATACCACTTTTTTTTCAATAGATAAAACTATGTGTCAACCAACAAAATTTAAAGACATTCTATTTATATTATTAAAATCGTATGTACAAAAAAAACGTACTTACCGTTATCTGTCACGGATCCGGAGGTCTCTTAAAACACGCACACACTTTCTCACTCAATCGCATAGTTTTTATGACTATTATGAAAAAATAAAAAAAAAAAAAAAAATTTCCTACAATTCAATATTGATTTTAATTAATTTAATTGTATTTCGATTTATAATGATTAATTGGAGAAAAAATTGTAAGTTATTTGACAAGAATTTCTTTTCAAGAGCAATGCCGGCTGATTCCGGAGAGTTTGTGCTGTTTGCAATGTATGGTGAAGGCAAAAGAGTGAAAACCAGTCAGCCCCCCTCTAATGATACTTTTCATTCGCTGTGTAGTGTCTTCAGATTGTATACATATATATAAATTGTATACCTATATACACGTGTTGTAATCCTTATAAGTAACCGTGAAAATTTTTTTTTAACAATTTTTACCTTGACTTTTAAAAAATTTTGGAAAAGTGATATAAATTTTTTTTAATTTTTAATTATTATTTGAAAATTAATGATTCTTTATTCGCAAATCTAGGTTATTGAAACTAGCACTTGTATAAATTAAGAATACTTGCTAAATTCAATTTAGATGCGAGCAGAGAAATTTTTTTTCATTTTTTTTTTTTTTGTTTTCATCAAATTAAAAATTTTGAATACGTACACTGAGAAAAATGTTTAGTCAGAGCAACCAAAATTTGGTTGGGCCAACAAAAATTTTTTTTTGGTATTTAAGCAACCAAACTATTTGTTTGAGTCAACCAAAAAATTTGTTTTAGTGTTTATTGTTGGCATAACAAAAATGTTTGGTTAGCTCAACTAAATTTTTTTTGTTAGGTCAACAAAAATGTTTGGTTAATCAAACAAACAGTTTTTTTTTGTAAAAATAAAAATGTTATTCTACCTTATTTCTTTTCTTTTTATCATTTTTATTTATTTCATTATTTATTTATTATCCAATTTAACGTTTAATTTATATTTATAATTGAAACATTTGTGGACTATGAAAAATCTCATCTTCGCCTGGGATCGAACCTCTGTTTTAAAACTGAAGACCGGGAGCTCTGACCACTGGACTACCCATTCTTGTGAGAGATTTAAACTAACTGTTCTCTTAAGCTATGAGCTGAGAGCGAATCAAATTATTTGGTTGTCGCAATCAAATTTTGATTAGGACAACAAATGATCATTTGGTTTTTTAGACCAAACTATTTTGTTCTCTTAAGCAAATTATTTTGCTGTCGTAACCAAATTTTGGTTGGAATTTAAAAATGTTCAACCAAATAATTTTGTTGGCCTAATCAAATGTTTGGTTGAGATAACTTTACGACTTTGTTTGAGCCAACCAAAATTTCGTTACAAGAACCAAAATTGCCTAACCAAACAATTTTGTTGCAAACACTAAATTTTTTTTTCATGTGTATACAAATTTTTTATTTTGTCAATTAATTGACAATTAATTAATTAAAACAATTAATTAATTGTTAATTAATTCACTGTAAAAAGAAGGTACTAAAATAGTACCGATTTTAGGTATTAAAATAGAACCAAAAGGTAATTTAGTAGGGTCAACCGGGGTAAATCCGAACGCTTTTAGTAAGTTTCAACAATAACATAAGTTTTTTCTTTAAAAAAAAAAATACTTCCGGTATTCTGGTGCATGAAGTTGTTACTTTACTTCCATAGAACAATTTTATGGGGTAGAAAAATTTTTTGATAAATTACAATCGCAGGAAACTTAGCGTTCGTATTTACCTCGATACTTTGCAACTTTCCTAAAATACCGGGGTAAATACGAACGCCACTGTATTTCAGAAAAATCTTAGGGAAAATAAATTTAAAGTATTGCAATTGTTAAACTTATATAAAAACTAAAAAAAAATACGATAATAAACCTATTATGTAATAATGCATCATATATAAATACAAAAATCAAACAGGTTAAAAATTAAAATGCATTACACAATTAAAACCTTCAATAACTTTATCAAATCATAACGGATTTTTGCAAAACTTGGTACAGAAAGTATTTTGGAGTGATTTAATGTAAATACAAAAATAAAAGTCAAATTTTTTAAATTCAAAATGGCGGACTTTCCTAAAACTTATTTTTAAAAATGATCAAATTTGCTAACCCTGAAACCCCCCGAGTAACAATTTTCGAGCGAATCCAATGAATTTTTTAATTCTCGTCCGCCATTTTGAATTTTGAAAAACTGACTTCAAATTGGTAATAGCGACCCCAAAAACCGTAGAATACCAAATTTTATTAAGATCCTGAAAAACTTTTTTCAACAAACCATTTGGCAAAAAAATTGAAACACTCCTTCGAGAGAACAGAGATTAAGTTTCTGCTTATTAATTACTAACGAGGATACGTATAGAAAGAAAAACTTTTTTCTATGTACTTTTATAATGTTAAAATAATAGTGTAATGAAATAAAAACAATTTTGTGTGGCTTTGATGTAAAAAAAAATTATTAAAAATACCGTTCGGATTTACCCCAGTTTTCCAATTTTCTTGGGTAAATACGAACGTTCTGATATTATTAATAAAATTTTACAGAAGGCAAAAATCAAATATAGTTTCTGTTCTAGTATTCATAACAAACAATTATAAATAATAAAATGAATTTTTAGCTTCTTTTTCTTGAAATACGAGACAAAATACTGAAAGAGTGTCATCTTTGATTTTCAATCTTTTTTGCAATACTTGTTATCTTTGTTTATGCTGTTGCTAATTAACAAACAAAAAATGGGATAATACTTAGAATCTCTTCAAGAGGATCTGAGGTAAAAATTCTCATATCGAACTTATTTTTAAAAATTTTAATTAAGCTGAAATAATTAGCGTTCGGATTTACCCCCCGTTCGAATTTACCCCGACTGACCCTACCTAAAGTTGGTATTAAATTAATACCTTTCGTTTTACAGTGTTAGTATTATTTTTTAAAGATTTTTGACAAAGAATTTATCCCCTAAAAATCATTAATGTGAATTTTCATTTTCAACAATTTTATTAGATATAATTATTTTTCATACAAATTTTCATTTTTCGAATTAGGGGAAGGTTGGGGAATTGGAGCCCCTTAAGGACAATGATTAAAAAAAACAAACTTATTGTTATGATAAAATATTGTTTTGGTCATTTTTTACTCCTTTTGTTATATATCTTTAATATTATAATTAATTAGAAATTAAGAACAAAAAAGTAAGTTTGCAAAAAAAAAAAATGTATTTTCTCCCATTACCCCACCTGTGGGGTATTGGGAGCTCTCACTTGAAATTCCAATAAAATGATATAATTTTTATTTTCTTTGGATATTTTTCTTATTTTGTCAATAATTCTCGACAGATGATCATTTTACAAAATATTTAAGACATAAAAAAGACCTACAGCTTCTTTAGTATTAGAATATCCAATATAATAACACATTTCAGACAATTAAACACAAATATTGATTCTTAGCAATTATAAATATGCAACAATATCAAATTTTATAAATGAATCTTGTTTAATTTTCAAAAAAAAAAAAAATAAGAAAAGCCATATCGAAGTAACGAAACTCTGCTGGCTGGCACAATTTTCTCATTACCCTAAAGAATTTTCATAGGCCATAATTTTAAAAAAAAGAAGAAAAAGTGCGATTCCAAGTGAGATTTTGACTTTTTCGGAGTAGGTTAACCGATTGCAATGAAACTTTGGAATTTTGTTATATATAGTAAGACTAATCTTTAACGTAAATTTCAGCCTAAAATATTTGTTAGTTTACGAGATTTGCAATAATAACAAAAAATTTAAAACTGCTATATCTTCCGTTCTAATAAACGGATTGAGGTCTACTTTTTTTTAAAATGTCAAGGAAAATGAGAGGAATAAATCTCTTTCAGAACATTTTTTTATAATTTTACAACTAAAAAAATTATTAAATAATAATTGAATAACTTTTGCGCGACTAACTAAAATTCAATCACTTAAACGCTAAAATGATCTTACCTGTGTTTTCTTTAATGTTCCAAAGGATTTTTATTGTAAATGTAAGTTTAACTTAAGAAATTTTATTAATTTATTAGTATAAACAATTGAGATTTCTGCTAGTTGACGTGCAGACGACATTGCGCACGCAGCATTCTCACATAGCCAACTGACGTGATTCGTGGACTAAATTGGCTATGTGAGAATGCTGCGTGCGCAATGTCGTCTGCACGTCAACTAGCAGAAATCTCAATTGTTTATACTAATAAATTAATAAAATTTCTTAAGTTAAACTTACATTTACAATAAAAATCCTTTGGAACATTAAAGAAAACACAGGTAAGATCATTTTAGCGTTTAAGTGATTGAATTTTAGTTAGTCGCGCGAAAGTTATTCAATTATTATTTAATAATTTTTTTAGTTGTAAAATTATAAAAAAATGTTCTGAAAGAGATTTATTCCTCTCATTTTCCTTGACATTTTAAAAAAAAGTAGACCTCAATCCGTTTATTAGAACGGAAGATATAGCAGTTTTAAATTTTTTGTTATTATTGCAAATCTCGTAAACTAACAAATATTTTAGGCTGAAATTTACGTTAAAGATTAGTCTTACTATATATAACAAAATTCCAAAGTTTCATTGCAATCGGTTAACCTACTCCGAAAAAGTCAAAATCTCACTTGGAATCGCACAAAACATAAATAAATTTAATTATTACCTCTATTTTTATTCATGTTAAACAACTTTTAGTCGCCGAATTTTTATTTGTACGAAATTGCAAATGACCAAACAAACAATCGACAGAAAGATTTCGGCGCGATTTTTAAAATCAACTAATCACAATTTTAGGGATAATTTTTAATTGATGGATTTTAAAAATCGCGCCGAAATCTTTCTGTCGATTGTTTGTTGGGACCCAAATTATTGAAGGAAAAAATAAAAATAAATAAATAAAAGTAAAAAGCAATACCTAAATAAAAAATAAAAATAAATAATAAATTGTAATAAAATATCTACACAATAAAATAATATAAATATAGCAGAGAAATTTTTCCAAATACGTAAAATAATATATATATATATATATATATATATATATATATATATATATATATATATATATATATATATATATATATATATATATACATATGAAATGAAATTGCGACAGGATTATATTTTATACAATATATATTTACCGTGCCTTCGTGACATTCGTCACGTACGTTACAAATTGAAGTTAACAAATGTGAACAGAATTTTGATATAATCAGGAGAAAATTGAATGAGAAACCTCCCCCCTCCTTTTTCTTTAAAAAAAAAAAGGTTTGAATTTAATTGTATTATGAAAAAAAAAAAATGAATATGCGTTTTATAGTTTTGAATAAAGAAAAGAGTGTTTTAATTTTATTTTCAACTGACCACACATTAAAATAATATTAATTTTAAACAAAAAAATTATATATTTCCATCTTTCTCTTTGGCGTGGCTTTCATGAGAGTGGCCAATGTGATTCTATATATCGAAGCACTTTCTCTCTTCTCGGTCTATGTGCCATTCAGGCTCTATAACGTAAAGGCTTTTTTTTTTATGTATATGATTGTTTAAATTGTCTCACTTAACTTTTAACAAGAGTCCATAAACCTTGGCCTTACATAAAATGTCATAAATTAAAGATGGTTATCTCAAAAGAATATGTATATATTATGAAAAAACTTGGTCACTTTTTTTTAAAAAAAAAAAAAGTTGAAATAACAAACAATTCAGGTTTTTTATAATGTATTATTTACTATAAATAATCTATATAATTATATAATATAATATTTTAATTTTTTTGATTATTTTTTAATAATCAAGAATTCTATAAATATAAAATTATAAATTTTTTAATATTTTTTATACTACATTATATATATATATATATATATATATATATATATATATATATATATATATATATATAATACACTGAAAAAAATTTATTTGATTCAAATACTCGATTACTTGACTATTATCAAATAAATATTTACTCGAACCAAATAATTTTTATTTGAATCAATTAAATGGTATTTATTTCAAATACACAGAAATCATTGTTCAAATATACAATTTATTTAATTCAAATAAAAATTATTTGATTCAAGTAAATATTTATTTGATAATAGTCAAGTAATCGAGTATTTGTATGAAATAAATTTTTTTTCAGTGTATTATATATTATTTATTATAAATTTATATATAATAAATAATATAGTATAAAAAATATTATAAAATTTATAATTTTATATTTATAAAACTTGAACCAAATAATTTTTATTTGAATTAAATAAACTGTGTTTAAAGCAATGTTTTAAAAAAAAAAATTTGGTGCAGCAGCTGCCCCAAACGAAAACTTCATACTTAATATTTGCACAGGGGTTTTTATATGAGTGAAGTTAACTGAATATAGAAATTTTCCGTTTAAAACAGCTGCTCTACCAAAAAATTTTTCAGTGTAAGAAAGTTGTGAGTATTTAAAAAAAAACTTTTAAAAACTAAAATTTTGAAAAATTTATATCTCACAAACGGCTTGATAAAAGATTTTTAAAAAATCGTGGAACTCTCTTTTGTCGAGTAAATAAAAGGTCAAAAAAAAAAAAAAAAAATGTTTGGTTGATGGTAGTAAATATTATATACTTCTTCAATATATACAGTATATAAATTGACGTAGAATTCAGTAAGGATTTGCGTGCAATAAATATGTTGTTAACATTTGGAATCTAAGTTCAATAATTTGCGACAAATTGTTTTTCTATATTATTAAATTTCACTTTTTATTTCCGCAATGCATATTTTATATCTCGTTATATTGTCATTTTAAATAAAATAAATATTTTTTTTACAATTATTATATAAATTCGAATAAGGCATCACATTATATATGATATATTCGGGTATATTATTATACATATAATATATATTTATATATTTCCTAAAAGTCGATGAAATAATTATTATTTATTCGATTTATAATTATTTTCATTTGATTTAACTATATATATATATTATACATATTTTAATTATATAGTGTAAATTCTTCGTGTAAAAAAGAAAAATTTCAGAAAAATTTGAAATGATGAATTTAAAAATAATTTAAATTTATTTTTTAATTTTATTTTGTTACCAACAAAAGATATTAGTTAAAATTGTAGAAAATTACTTTATCGACATATAATAAATTTTCGTATCAAATAGACTCATTACTCCGTCTACAGGTTGCGCTCCTTTCTAAATTTTTTAATAAACATTTCAATAGTAAATTTCTATAATTTTTTACCATCTTCTTTATATAATTAAGTTTTTTTTATTATATAATTATTATTATTATGTAATACCAACAATAATTGAATTATGTCATTAAAAAATTAATTTCACATTTTTATTATTTTTTTAACAATATTAATTTCTAATTTTTTTAATCATATTTTAACAATAATTTCATTATTAAATTATATTATATAATATATGCAAAGTTATTTTTTTACATATTATATATATATATATATATATATATATATATATTTATATGTATACATATAAGCACAGCCTATTAAAAAATTTTCTACAAAAGAAAATTGTTATTATATTCATTTTTTTATAAAGTCTTTAAAAATTTTTTGAATATTTTCACATTGTCGGAATTTAAATAATTAAATTTTTTGTCAGTTATCTTTGATTTTTCTTGATACGATTTTTCATGTAACATTGAATTGTCCAATGGTTTATTTATTTTTTCTTTCGTTATTGTATTATTTCTAGGAAAATTTGTGTTTTCAATTGTTAAATCTTTATCATTTATTGATTGTTGATTTCTTATTTCTTGATTAGAATCAATTTTCTTTGTAGTATCCTGAAATTAATATATTAATTAAATACCAGGTAAATTTATTAAATTCACTAATTCTAATACCTAAGTTGACATTTTTGACAAATATAAATTCAAAAAAACGAATTTAGTAAATTAATAATATTATTTTGCAAAAAGCTTTGTAAAAAAGGGTCAAAAATTGTTGTGCATAATTTTTTTTAACGTTTACAATAATTGTTTACAAGTAACTTTGTTATTCTTTCAATGAAAAAAAAAGTTTTCAGCAAATGAAAAAATTAAGATAAAAATAATTTAATACCATTTTATTGACTGAATTGTATCCTCTATTTTCTTGTTCATTTTGTTTTCTCCATCTTTCATCATCCTCGGCAAATATAAAATTTTGCGATGCATTTTTTTCATTAAAATTTGAAACATATTTATATCTATTGTTAACATTAATTCCATGAAATTTATCAATTAATTCTGATTGATTTGATTTGTCTACACGAATAATTGTTAATGAATCAGCAGCCATAAAATCCATTTCATTATCGGTTCGTAAGTGTGCAGCGTGAGCGTGTATTAATCGTGAATTTGGTGGATGCCAAAAAAATATATAATATCCACTGAGAGCGAGTGCGGCACAACTTACTGCAAACAAAAAAAGGTCAGTAAAGCTGTAAGTACCACTTTCAAAGAAAAAAAAAAAGGTTTTTCTGTATGCCATAATTTTGGGCTAATTTAATACCAAATGCAAAAATTTAGGGCTCTTTAACTATTGTCAAAAAAAAAAACCGGGAAGCATGATTATGTTCTAAACATTATTAGTTAGAATTTTCATTTTATGAAATTTCATTTGTCATAATTATTTTTGAGCTGGATTTTTATTTCTTCGAATTAGTATTTTGCAGAATTTTCATCAAAACGATTTTCTATATTTCAGAATTTCTATAAAACAACCGAAAATTCACTTTACAGAATTTTTATTTGTTCAAATTTTTATAATTGTCCGATTTCTTATTTGCTCGAATTTTCATTTAACATAATAGGCATTTTAAAGAATTTTTATTGGGTAGAATTTCATTGCAGAGAATTTTCATTTTATTCTTTCAGATGAATTTTTATTTGTTCCAATTATTATTTGATATAATTTCCATATAACCGATTTTTTATACTACAGAATTTTTACTTAACCGAAAAATGATATAACAGAATTTTTAATTTTATAGAATTTTCATTTGTCCGAAATTGCAAATGGCCGAACAAACAATCGACAGAAAGATTTCGGCGCGATTTTTAAACTAAACCAATTACAATTTTATGGATAATTTTTGATTGATTGATTTTAAAAATCGCGCCGTACACTTTCAGTCGATTGATTTTTCGGCCATTTGCAATTTCGGACAAATAAAAATTCTATCAATTAGAAATTCTGTTAAATGATTTTTCGGTTAAATAAAAATTCTGTAGTATATGAAAAATCGGTTACATGGAAATTATATCAAATAAAAATTGGAACAAATAAAAATTCATCTGAAAGAAAATTTTATGCTATGAAATTCTACCCAATAAAAATTCTTTAAAATGCCTATTATGTTAAATGAAAATACGAACAAATAAGAAATCGGCCAATTATAAAAATTTGAACAAATAAAAATTCTGTAAAGTGAATTTTCGGTTGTTTTATAGAAATTCTGAAATGTAGAAAATCGTTTTAAGGAGAATTCTGCAAAATACTAATTCGAACAAATAAAAAATTCGGCTCAAAAATAATTATGACAAATGATGCCCTAAATTTTTGCATGTGGTACTAAATTAGCCCCAAAATTATAGCATATAGAAAAACCTTTTTTTTTAAAAAGTGGTATTTCGAGCTTTACTGACCTGAAAACATATAAGCTCCAACTGTCATTAATCGTACAATTGTCTTTGGACCACGATTCTCATAGAGTTTATCGGTGTCAGCAGAATTTGCTGCAGCATCTGTACCACCTGTTTCTTCTTTGTTCATTTTTCACAAGATTCAATTTTAAATTAACAATCAAATTTTCATTTATTCTTATGGCATGCATTGATGTGTGAATTTTTGTTGATTTAAATAAAATTCAAATAATTCCATAATTTCAACTTGTCCACCTTAAAAAAAGAAAAGGAAAATACAAAATAAAAAATATCTTCAAATACTTTGGTAATTTTTTTTTTTTAACTCGTTACTTGTTACTCAAGCCACAAACGAATATCATACTGTGAGTTATCGATGAGAAAAGCTTCAATCAGTGTTCTACTTATTTTCTAAGGCTTCAGTAACCTCACTAATTCGCTTTAAAAAATTGTGCGTTGAAGGTTCAAAACACTAAAAAAAAGAGGAAAAAATAATAATTTATCCTCTATAAATATACCTATAAATTAGTGTAAATAACTATTTTTAAACTAATTGGAATTAGGAATTGATTTTTTTCCTGTATGAACTATAATTTTTACTTAGTGAATTAGTAAAAAAAATTTATTCATTAATTCATTATAGTAAACAACTAATATATGACAATAAAAAGTGTCAGTTATTAATTGAAATTATATTTAAAATTTTGTAATAATTTTTATTCAAAGAATTATTTTCTAAATTTAAATTATTGAAAATTCGTTCACCAATTCAAATTACTAGAAATTTTCCCTTATCTTTAGTAAAATATTAGGTACCTACTATTTGATTTAGGAATATTTTTTTTTTTTACTAAAGTTTAATTGAAACATGATTAAATTTTATTTTATTTGAAACCCGTTTATGTTTACATAAGTAAATAAAATAAATAATTAAAAATTAGTTTCATTAAATGCCAAAAAATGGATTTTTGTAAAAAACGAAAATTAAAAATTTTGAAAAATATTTAATCAATTGAAATTTTCTTAGACATATTATGAGATTTTAAACCAAAAAAAATTATTTCTGAATTCAGCGACCCCCAAAATCCCCGAGTAACAAGTTATAAGAAAATCCAAGTGATTTCTAACTATTCGTCCGCCATATTGAATCCGCCATTTTGAATTTTGAAAATTTGACTTCAAATTTGAAATCAGCGACGTCGAAAACCCCCGAGTGAAACTTTTAATTTTTTATAGCGGCCATTTTGAATTTTGAGAAAATAAAAATTTCTAATAATCATTCAAATGAAAGGGCAGACATTTTGGGCGTGATATTTTGTCATTCCAAATTTTTCTTTGACGCGATTTCGAATCGAAAATAAAGTTAAAACAAAAAAAAAATTGGTGCGGTACTGGTACCAATATCGCGCCACTACTGGTAGTACTGGCGCTGTACTGCCCCAGTAGTTAATTTTTTATAGGGAATCTACACTGAAAAAATAATTTATTTGATTCAAATATAATGGTTTACTTGACTATTATTAAATAAATATTTATTTATTATTTAAAATGTTATTTGTTTCAAATAGATAAATTATTATTAGTTTAAAATACAATTTATTTAATTCAAATATAAAAATTATTTTGTTCAAGTAAATATTTATATGATAATATAATATAGTCAAGTAATCGATTATTTGAATAAAATAAAAAATTGTTTTCAGTGTATAGAAAATTACTGGAGATATCAAATTTTTGTCAAAAAATGTCAATATTTTGAAAATTTATATTATTCACTGTTTTTACTTGGCATCAATATTCACTACTGCAAATCTTGATACCTGAATTTGTTTACATTTAAGTACAATGGATACCTTATGGGGAAGGTTATAAAAATAGGCGGATCGAAAATCCCAAATATAATTAAATCAGTTGCAATTCGTGTGTTGACCTGTTTAGACGCGTAATCAAGGCGATTGTAAATTTTGTAATTTTAAGTGAATTGCTTCGGGAGTGCTCGAATTTTTTAATTCGCGAACGAAATTTCTTAAAAGTGTTTAATTGTATTTAATCTTTTTAGTACATTTTTTTCCTAGAGTGTTGGAAATTATTAAAATCACAATAGGTTAAATCTTTGGAAAAAGTATATTGTTTCTTAATTAATTTGAAAACGTGGTTTCGGGAGTTTTCGATATTTTTTAAATCGCGTGTGTTTCCGGTACATTTTATATCATCCAAAATATCTGTTGCAATATAAGGTTACTATTTACTTTTGTAATAATATTCTTTTTTTTTTTTTTTTTTTTTTTTTTTTACTAAAGTTTTAGTGAAAAATGACAAAAAATTAGTACAAATTTTCACTAAATTTAGTAAAATATTACTATTTAAATTAGTAATATATCTATTCTTCTTTTTACTAAAGTTTTAGTACAAAGTAACTAAAAATTACTAAAAAATTTAATTAATTTTTAGTAAAATATTACTATTTGATTTAGTAAATATATTTTTTTTACTAAAGTTTTAATTAAAAAATGACAAAAAATTAGTACAAATTTTCACTAAATTTAGTAAAATATTACTATTTGAATTAGTAATATATCTATTCTTTTTTTACTAAACTTTTTGTACAAAATAACTAAAAATTAGTAAAAAATTTTCATTAATTTTTAGTAAAATATTACTATTTGATTTAGTAAATATATTTTATTTACTAAAGTTTTAGTCAAAAAATGACTAAAAATTAGTAGAAATTTTGACTATTTCAAATTTAGAGATTAATATTTGTTATTGTTATGTAATATTAATTAATATTAATAATTTGAATATTTTTATATTTTAATAATACATATATTGTTGTCTACGTTTTATTATTTAAAAAAAATTTTTTTTTTAACATACAAATTTTGTTATTATTTTCCTTTATTATATAGTAATAGGTGAAATGAAATTGCCTCTCTTACGCACATGTTTTTTGTGATTCTTCGACGCTGTTATCCAGTTAAATATACATATTGAAAATGACAAGAGTAAATTTCACTTTCTTCTTTCGAGCAAGTAATAATTACTTTAAATCGTCACGGAGTAAACATTTGCAAATATTTTTTTTACGAATAATGCAAGTGATGCCTAATTATCTCTGTATAGTATAGAAACCGAATAAGACGTCATAATTTTTTTTTTTACTCTTGAGACAAAAATTTAAATAATTTCTCTCCTTGCAAAGAAATATTGCGAATATATAAAAAAAAAATAAATTTAAATTTAAAAAAATACTAATTTTATTTTCAAGATTTTGAAAAAAAATTTCTAGTAAAAAAACAATTAAAATCTCACGTGGAATGCCCCATATTTGGGTGTTTTTATCCAGATCATTTAAAATTATAAAATAAAAAAATTAAAATATAACCTTAAAATATTTACATTTTTTCAGAGTATGTTTTTTTTTAATATTTCGATTAATTTTAGTTTTCTTTTTTATTTCAGGTATGTGTGAACAGTAATTTAAACAATTTTTACTTATTCCCATATAAGGAATCGAAAGGGAGCATCAGATAAAATAAGGTCAGTTTAAATAAATTATTTATTTTAATATACAGGAAATACTTTAGGTTTTTATGAGTTTCATACACTTTGAAAGATATTAATAATTAAATGAAATAGTTCAAAAGTATTTTTTATATAATTTTTTATGAAAACAAACTTTTTTCAACTATAAAATTTGTATATATAATTTAAAAAAAAAAATCCATTTCGACAATTTAAAATATGTAAAATAATTAATTAATTTATATAAATATTTTTTACATAATTATTAATTATCTTTTGAGTGTAAAACTCATAAATACCTTCACAAATTAGTTATAATATAATTAAAACATATTTTATACAATTTGTACATTACTGGATTTATTCAAATATAGCTATAATTGATTAAAATAATATTCATACACCTAAAAAATTTGTTCTATACCTGAGGATTCAAATACTGAAAAAAAATTCTTTGATTCAAGTAATAATAGTGATAATAATAATAATAGTAAAAATATTAATTACTTAATACAAATAATTTTATCCAGTATTATCATTATTGGTTGTATTAAATTGTGTTTTCAAATAATGAGGTATGTTTAATATAACAATAATACTGCCATCAACTCCACTTAATTTGCTCTCTAAGTGACATTTCTTTCATATATACATCTATATGTATGTTGCTAGCATTAAATAAACCTAAATAAATTAATCACAATATTTTCTTTCTCAAACTAAATGAAATTTTATTTTTTGGTCAGCTAAAAATTATTTATATATTTCTCTATCTCTACAAGTTCAATGTGTAAAAACTGGAAATTCGTCCGAAATTGAAAGTTACGTGGATAAAAAAAAAAAAAGTGAAAATAAATAAAGTCAAGGCAAGACAAACTATATAACGAAATATTTACATAGAAATGTTCACTGGTCGAGCAAGTGGTCACGTTTATAATTTTTGATTATGATCTGCTATTGATTTTAGTATTTTTTTAATAAACACCGAAAGAAATGCTTTGGTGGAAAGTGTTATATTTATTTATGGTTTATTTTTGTTTGAACTGATGATAAAGTAAGGTTATGTTAGCAATTTGTATAAATATCTATCGCCATTTCGTATGGTTGTACTAGCTATACTTTATGGCAATAAATATACAGAGAAATTCCAATCTAACCGAATTTCTACATTAAAGTATTATTACTTGAACTAATTTGTGATAATTTAAATTCAAATTTTAATAAGAATTTTTACAGTCTACATTAATTCAGGCAAAAATAAATTCGAAGCAGTTTGTATAAATGAAAATTTGGCTAAAAAAGAATTTTGTCAATTTTTTTCCAACAAATTAATTTTAGAACTTGTTCATGCGTCTTCGAATTATTTCTTTCAGTGATAGTCTAAATGATCGAAAAAATGTATATTCATTTTACACAGGCCGAGAAAATTTTCTCCTATTTCAGAACTAAGAAACAGACTATATTTTTCCAAAGAATTTTGTATCCGAATTTAATCTCGAAATTGATTCAGCACATTAGGTTTTCGAGATATTCTAAACTAAAAGTACAAAAAAGACGTTTTTTTTGACCATATATAATGATATATCAAGAGATATTAATTTTTTTAAAAGGTTGTTAAATCTTAAACTACTATTTGTACTCTTTAAAATGCATTTTGAAACTTAAAAAAATCTTTATTTGGCTCATGAGTTATCGTCATTTGAATTTTTTGAAGCATTATCTGATGTAGAATTATGGAAACATTCACCAAATTAAAAAAATTCAAATGACGATAACTCACGAGTTAAGTAAAGATTTTTCAAAATGCATTTAAAAGCAGAAGAATTGTACTTTCAGATGCTGTAACGATCTTTTTGAAAAAATTATCCTCGAAAGACAATTCTAAGGTGAGATTCGGATTGAAAATTCTTCGAAAAAGTATAGTTTGATTCTTTTGTTCTAAAGAAGGCAATTATGTCAGCCTTTATTATTGTCAAAATATAAATAATCCGTTAAAATAAAAAGTATCTGCAGTATATTTATGGTCACAAACTAATGGCACTTTGATTGTCGCTCAATAGAAATGCACCTTTACTGTACAAATTTTAAATTTACACTAATACATAACACATAATCTTCGTCATCCGGCACTAGCGGTAAAATTAGTTAAAGTACTTCTTTTAGATCTCGTCATCCAAAATTGTTTTATCATATCCGATCCTTTTTCTGCAATCATCATCACTGGTGCATTAATATTGCCACTTGTTATTGTTGGCATTATCGATGCATCAATCACTCTCAAACCAGATACACCATAAACACGTAATTCTGGATCAACAACGGCCATTCGATCGTTGGGTGGTCCCATTTTAGTAGAACCACTCATATGATAAATTGTCATTGTATACTGTCGAATAACACAATTCCAATAGTCATCAGTGTACAATGGTAAATATTTACAATTTGGTATTGGTTTATTGTGAAATCTTGCACCAAATTGTTTCATTGTTGCCGTCTCACCAAAAGCAATAGCTGCCTTTACACCTTCACGTAAAACGTTAACATCATCTGGATGTGTTAAATAATTATGATACATTAGCGGATAGTCTAAGGGATTTTTTGATTTTAATTTAATAACACCTCTTGATTTTGGTCGTAGCATCATTGGAAATACTCCAAATACATCGCGATTATTTATTTCACCGAATACCTCATTGTAAAATTCATCAGTTAGACCGTGAGCATTTTTAACGTGTGTTCCACCATCAGAATTTGTTGACGATGATGTTAACATAAATTCAATGTCTGGCCAATCGTCACTTTGATTTGCGTATTTTGTCGATATAAATGCAACTGCCTCTAAACCAACGCTTGATGTTAATGGCCCGTCTTCGGTTATTGCATAACGAAGAGCCGAATTGACATTTACCAAACGGTTCATTACTATGCTAATTGGATAGTCTATTAAGAATGCCAATCCACCTACTGCAATGTGATCCTGTACATTTTGGCCCACACCAGGAGAGTCCTAGAAATTTTAGAAAATTTTTACATTTATGAGTCATTCTCTGCGAAATAAAAGCCATTACAAATTAATAGAATTCCTATCGCACTAAAAACCTGGGTTCATTTTTGCTGCGTATCATTCTGAGTTCCAGATCAAAATAATTCATTGGTAAACTTCAAGTGAATCAAAATGATCCTCGCCAAGATTATGATTATTAAGGCGCTTGTACACCTTACAATTTCTGAGTATATTCGAAATTTGCCAGAAATTTCACTAACTTTGATTGGTTTTGCTCATAGAAAATTTCGAAATTTTCCAATCTTTTGGAAATTCTTTATGAGCAAGGCCAATCAAAATTAGTATAACTTTTTGACAAATTCTGAGTATACTTAGAATTTGTGAGGTGTACAAGTGCCTTTAAATTGGTCTAAATAATAGGGCGCCATCTGGTGATTAAGAAACAAAGCAATTCAAATTTAATATCAGAATTTAATTTAACAGCATTGACAATTTATTTATAAATGAAAATTGAAACAATGAAAAATAAAGTGTATAATAATGACAGTCAATAAACATTATGTTATTATTAAAGATATTTATTCCGATGATTTAAGTTTAAAAATTAAGTGAACTGGTTTGTCAATTACTACACTATTACTACATTTTAAAGAATTAATATTTCGATTTAAACTAAAATGAAAAAATATTGAAATAATAATATTAAATAATAATTTAGTTTTAAAAATTATTAAACAATAATATTATATAATATAAAAATTTTTAAATTTATTATATTTGTCATAAAATTAATGATAATAGTTATCATTTTTTAGTAAATTAAGAATAAACAATAGAAGGATTCCACGGGTAAAACGAACAGTTGTCGGTGACAAGTTATCGATTTGGCTCAAATTTTTTAGGCGTATTCTACCTCTAAAAATACTCAACTAGCCAAAGTTTTAAGCTCCTATCTCATAAAGAACACTCACAATCGTTAATTTCGTGAAAAGTGAAATCTGTCAAAATGAAGATTGAAAAATCCATTTCTGCTCGAAAAAATGTTAATTTTGGTCAAAAAAAAAATTGGAAAGGTACTAGTCGATGGGAAATTTTCCAAAGAATCCAATGTCGTTGGAATTTTTGAGCTATCTTTAAACGCATGCGCAGTAGATTAAAAAAACTGTTTGTTTTTAAAAACTTCATAACTCAAAAACACCTATTTCGATTTGGCTCTAATTTTCAGGAAAGATAGCTGAAAAGCTATACTTTAAAATGGTTATACCTAAAATTTGCATATTTTGAGTTTTTAACCATTTTTATGCAAAATACTGAGGTAATTTAAATTTTTTCAAGGTTATCTATATTCAAACTTAATTTTTATTTATTCTAAACAAATTTTAACAGAAAAAACAAATACAAGTTATAATTAAGAGCATTACCAATATGAGAAAATTTTAAAAAAAATTATTTTTTACGTTTGTTTTTTCAACTAAACATTTTTTTCAGTTTGGGAAATTATCAATTTTTGATGAAAGATATTTTGTACTTTGTGCATAAAATAAATTTCAATGCGTAAAGTAATATTTCAGTGCGTAAAGTGAATCACTTTACACACCGTTTGAAAAAGAGCTTCTTTACACACACTCAAAATATGCAAATTTTAGGTATAACCATTTTAATGTATAGCTTTTCAGCTGTCTTTCCTGAAAATTAGAGCCAAATCGAAATAGGTGTTTTTGAGTTATGAAGTTTTTAAAAACAAACAGTTTTTTTAATCTACTGCGCATGCGTTTAGTGATAGCTCAAAAATTCCAACGACATTGGATTCTTTGGAAAATTTCCCATCGACTAGTACCTTTCCAATTTTTTTTTTGACCAAAATTAACATTTTTTCGAGCAGAAATGGATTTTTCAATCTTCATTTTGAAAGATGTCACTTTTCACGAAATTAACGATTGTGAGTGTTCTTTATGAGATAGGAGCTTGAAACTTTGGCTAGTTGAGTATTTTTAGAGGTAGAATACGCCTAAAAAATTTGAACCAAATCGATAACTTGTCACCGACAACTGTTCGTTTTACCCGTGGAATGCCTCAATAATAATTAATTAAAAAATTAAATGAAGGTAATTTATCATTATTACTACTTTTGTTATGTAACAATTAAATATAGTTAAGAATAAGAAGTTTTTAGATTTTGATTGTTCCTTAATTTCATTGATTTAAAAATAATTTTGTTTATTAAATTATTTTAAATTTCAAGAATTATTAAATTTATTTTTAATTAAATTAATTAATTACAAATGATTCATTCAATTCATTTCAATAAAATAAAATAAAATCATATTAAATCTTAATATAATTTAATTAGCGCGCTGACACAAGATTTTATTTTTTGCTGTCTTTTCCCTGATTTCCAAACAGAATTTTGTCTTTTTCTCTGATCTCGATGATACAATTTAAAGGGATGTTAAAAAAAGAATATTTTTTATGTAAAAAGTTAAATTAAAATTTTTAGTGTGTTGAGCTACTTTAAAAAAAATGTATGGCCTTTACAATGGTTTTTAAGGTTTTAAATAAACTTTTAAAAGAATTAATATTTCAATTCAAGCTCAAAATTAAGAAGATAACACAGAAAAAATGTAATATTTGTTTATTTGTAAATAATTTCAATTGTGACTCTGTAAAACTCAATTATTTTCAAAATTTTAATAAAATTAATAATGATTAAAAAAAGTGATTATTACGATTAAAGTAAAGAAAAATTTTAATTTTGAAATTAGTTTATGTTTTTTTCTTTTTTTAAAATATTTTTAACTATTTTATAAAATATTTATATTTTTCATCTTTTGAATTTCGCGCCATTATCTTTGGTTTTTAGACAGTAGCGCCGTTAATATTTTGTTTACGTTATTTGTAAACGATGTGAACGTTGTCAGGGTACGGTCACACTATCTCATGCATGCACTGTGCATGCATGCAGAAACATTTGGCCGGTCACACTTCAACAAAATCTAGTAAATGTTTAGTAACTTTCTAGTTACAACCGAAATTTTTGGCAAATTACTAGAAAGTTACTAAACATTCACTAGATTTCGTTGAAGTGTGACCGGCCAAATGTTTCTGCATGCATGCACAGTGCATGCATGAGATAGTGTGACCGTACCCTCACTCATGACAGTTCCTAACCTAAAAATCTGGTTTACTTAATTTAATAAATACAACAAACTCGGCTATAAATATTAAAGTTTTTCCAAGTGCAGTGTGTGTGTGTGTTTGCTTATTAGAAACAATCATTTTAATTCACTTTTTTTTTTTGAATAATTACTTGTTATTCGATAATAATTGTCAATTTTGTCTTTAAATCAAAATGATCCAGATCAGGATCATTTTGATTTAAACTCAGAATGATCCTGATCCGGTTCATTTTTGCTGCGTATCAAAATGATCCCTGTAGCCGGATCATTTTGATCCCAGGTTTTTACTGTGATAAAATATTATGTGCCTTGTATGCGGAATTATTTCTAACGATTCTGGGGGTATTAAAATTAGCAAATGTTCTTTAATTATACCTTAATAACATTAATGCCCATTTTTTGAAGATGATCACGTGGTCCAATTCCCGATAACATTAATAGTTGTGGTGAATTAATGGCCCCAGCCGATAGGATGACCTCTTTTTTGGCATAAACTATTTGCCTTCGACCGTCTCTGATGAATTCAACACCATAAGCTCGTTTAGTTATTGGATCGATGAGGACTTTAGTCACGTGAGTCCATAAGGCAAGATGAAAATTAGCCCTTAGTCGAATGGGTCGAAGGAATGCTTTCGCTGAGCTACAACGTGTTGCACGCCTCATGGTGAATTGATAGAAGGCAAATCCGGTCTGTTGCTCTCCATTCACATCGACAATATTGTAACCCATTTCTTCGCCTGCCTGCAGAAACGCAGCGCCTAACGGTGTATTATACGGAGCATCTTGTACTGTGAGGTAACCTCCTGTAGAAAATCAAAAAAAAAAAAAAACAGGAAAAAACATCAGACTGTGAAAGTTGAGATTTCTGCGAGTGAAATAACCTAAAATCACTTTTATATAAGATTTACATAGGGCAGAATTTCTTAAATGTTCGAGTAGAATTTGCCTGGACCGAATTTTAATTTTTCTGAATTTTAATATTTCTGAATTTTTAATTGATAGAATTTTTAAGACACCGAATTTTAATTTGTCCGAAATTACAAATGACCGAACAAACAATCGGCAAAAAAATTTCGGCGCAATTTTTAAAATTGATTACAATTTTCCTATGATTACTATAATTGGTCAATTTTTTAAATTGCGCCGAAATCATTCTATCGATTGTTTGTTCGGCCATTTGTAATTTCGGACAAAAATTAAAATTCGGCGTCTTAAAAATTCTATCAATTAAAAATTCAGAAATATTAAAATTCAGTTGAATTGTAATTTCAGTCATTTAAAAATTCGAATCACATAATTGTTGATGTTGTAAAATTTTGCAGAAAATGAAGTAATTAAACTTTATTCTTTTGCTTTTTGATTATTATTAGGGTTTTATATTAAAATTTTGTTATAAAGAAAAGGAAAAGAGGTGACACACTCTGAATCTGAATCAGTGGATGAGTTTTCTTTAATTCATCAGTGAAATTTCACTGGGAATCAGTAAAAAAAACTACTGTTTGTCAGTGAAATTCCACTGATGAATTAAAGAAAACTCCTCCACTGATTTGAAATCAGTGAAAATTTCACTGATTCAGATTTAGAGTGCAGAGAGGTACACTAAGAAAAATGTTTAGTTAGAATAACCAAAATCCTCTTAAGCTATAAGCTGAGAGCGAATCAAATTATTTGATTGTCGCAACCAAATTTTGGTTAGTACAACAAACGATCATTTGGTTTTTTAGACAAAACTATTTTGTTGTGTTAACGAAATTATTTTGTTGTCGTAACCAAATTTTGGTTGGAATTTAAAAATGTTGAACCAAATAATTTTGTTGGCCTAATCAAATGTTTGGTTGATATAACTCTACGACTTTGTTTCAGCCAACCAAAATTATTTGGTTACAAGAACCAAAATTGCCTAACTAAACAATTTTGTTGCAAACACTAATTTTTTTTCTCAGTGTAGGCAGATTAAAAATAATTGAGTCTATTTGGAACAATGAAGCAACACTCACTAGTGGGGAAAAAAATTAGAACAATTATTAAATGGAATGAAGAAGATAGACTGTTTTCTCGACTTCAAAATTTAGATAAACGCTGATAAATTAAGAACACCTCATTTTGTAGTAAGTTTACAAAAAAAGAATATTGCAAGCAAAACTTTTTAAGACACTACTATAAATATACTTATATATATATATCAAGAAATAGAAACCGGTCTCACGGTATGCGATTTTTTGAGTTAAGAATTTGACCCAATGCGGTGAATGTGAAGTTTCTCGTAGACCGATATGTTGCTTAACGATTCAATGATTACCAATTGATTATATTGCAACGATCAAAATGCGTTTATGGTAGATTAGGTATACTCGAATATAGTATTTCGAAAAAAAAAAATGAAAAAGAAGCTGTATTTTAACTCGTACTGTGTCAATATAATTAGGAGCATCAGTTTATGATTGCATATTGATTCATCATTCAATGTAATTCGCACTAATGAACGTGCCAATGATGTAAGTTCCTTTTACGTATACATATATGCATCCTACTTTCTATCAGCAATTGATCCCTCTTTGTGTCTCTCCGACTTTTTTTTTTACACCTAAAGACATCAGGTCGAATATAAGACCGAAAATGTTTCGTTACGCAATGTGAATGCAAATGCAGGGAAATCGAAAACCTTTGACTGGCAGATTTTTAAGTAAAACTTGTTTGACTGTTCAACGGAGATAATGATTTTAAGACGGATGATTAAATTTTAAAATTAATTTGTTATAATTTTCAATTGACAAAATTTTACTGACTAGCATTTACTAATAGCCGAATTTTTATATTATTATTTAATAGAAATTTCATTTACTTGAATTCCTCGAATTCTAATCGATTTGTTCAAATAAATATCTGGTAAAAAAATTTTGTAAAATTTTGAAATTAACAAATTTTACAGAAAGAATACTGAACAAAATTCCTTTGTAGCCGAATTTTTAATTGTTCGAATTTACATTTTACAGAATTCTTAAAACGCCGAATTTTTATTTTATAGAAACATTTGGTTGTCCCAACCGAACTTTAAATAAGACAACAAAAATCCTTTTTTTTCTAATTTTTGATTGTTTCAATCAAAGTTTTATTGAGACAAACAAAATTTTATTGAGACAATAGAAAAATTTTGGTTCCTTAAATACCAACCAAATGTTTTATTGTCAAAACCAAACCCTTTTTTCAGTGTATAATGTTCTTTCAAGTTCTGAACAAGTGAACAAAAAAATTTTGTTTACTATTTCTCGAAATTCAAAATTTATTATAAAATATTGTTTTCCGTATCAAAAAAAAAAAAAATGTTAATGTGCTTTTTTATTTTTCAATACAGTAGTAAATTTTAAAAATGATTTCGTTCATTTGAACGTTCAGTCACATTTTTGTATTCCAATAAATCAAAATAAATTATGTTCTAATCGAAAGACTGAAATAGTATTGCAATAATATTGTATTTTGTCAATTTGTGAGAAATATTTCTTCAATATAAATACAAAGTGGAACACTTTTCTTTTCACTTTCTATATTCTTTGAATTTGAATGTCATTTGGAGAATTGTGTACGTGACAAATGAAAACTAACATTCCCCTGTGAATATAATTTAGTTCAATATAGACATGGAATCTATATAGGAACTTGAAGAGAATATTAATTTGTTAGAAAAAATTTCAATTTCATTGGATATAGATATTTGGAAATGAATATTGCTACACCTCTGACAAGAATTAGTTTAACAAATACATTTGCTTTTTTTGGGATATATATTAGATAATATTATTTTTTGTACTTTCTTTTTAATCCATATAAAAAAATAGAATAAGAATTTTTCAAGTTTACTAAAACTAAAAATATTAAATATTAAATATTAATTAAAAAAATTTAGTCATCTATATATTTGGAGTGATTTTTAGATGATATTTTGGTTTAATTTTTAAAAATCAATTTATTATTAAAAATTATTGTCAATTTTTATAGTAGAAATTTTATGTCGACTCAATAAAAAAAAAAAATGAGAGTTTTAAACAGAATTTGTATAGAAACTAATGTGCCTGGTAGTTTTGAATGTTCAATAGAACGAAATCAATTTTTTGTTTTATAAATTTTTTCTAAAAATTATTACTGTATGACAAATAATAAAGTACGATTAATTTAATAAATTATTTACTTATTTTTTGATTTAGAAGGCAATATTTTTGTAATAAAATTTAAAATTAAAAAAGTAGTAAATAAATTCTCTTTATAAGTGAATTAAAATATAAATATTTACCAGTGCCATGATATCGTTTATTTCGTGCCAAATAAGGATTTCTTTGGTCCTCTGATTTTTTGAAATAATAGAGTGCATCTTCATATCCCCAACCAGGATTTCCAAAACTTTCCCATTGATCGAAATCTCGACGATTCCCTCGTATATACAACATTGTGTTCAATACACTTGAACCACCAATTACCTGATACAGATCAAACATAAAATTATTATATGCTTATATAATTACACACTTTTTTTCCAGTCTAGTATAGATATACTGTATAAATGTATAATCTATAATTCTTGAACTTGAAATTCTAAAATTTGTTTCACATTTAATGAATTAATATAAAAATAAATTTACTTCATTTAAATACTTGATTAAAAAAAAAAAAAATTAGAAAATAAAAATTTTCATTCAATATGTACAATTCTAATTATATTTAATAATATTATAATAATGATAAAATATTAATAATAATAATATTAAAAAAATAATCTTTGTACTAAAAATACACTAAAAAAAAAATTTATTTTCTTCAAATAATCGGTTACTTGACTATTATCAAATAAATATTTATTTGAACCAAATAATTTTTATTTGATACAAATAAATATTTATTTAATAATAGTCAAGTAACGGATTATTTCAATAACATAATTTTTTTCCGTGTAATAATAATAATAATAATAATAATAATAATAATAATAATAACAAAGTTTTGTATTAAAAATAATAATAATTTAAATTTAAATTATCGTCGAACTAATTTAGAGAAAAATGAAATAATTTCAATTAGGTCAAGGTTTTTTTTATCCTTTTACTCTCAGTAATGGAAACCGGTTAATTTACTCTCAGGTGTTTTTCCCGAATTACTTTTTTCTGCAATTAGACTCGTTCTTGAAAGATATTATATAATATCTTCATATATATATATAAATAAAGGAATTATAAACGATATATAACAATTAGAATTTCAGTTTTAAATATTTAAAAATTATTTTGCAATTTTTTTTTAGTGTTCAAAACTTTTAACAAGATAATATAAAAAATGCAATTAGCATTGGTGTTTTAAAAGCTTTAAAAATATATTTTACAATTATCTTTTTTTTTTTTTTTTAGTCTGTTCAAACGATAAAAAATCTAAAAATCGTCGAGTTAAACTTAATAATTTAAACGTTCGATATTCTAAACAGTTTTACTCTTAATAGAAGTTATTTTATATATCTTTAAATTGGCCTTTTAACATCGCTATATAACAGACTATATAATAAAAGTATTAAAAACATAATGTGTATCCTACGACAACTTTCCTTCAGTAAACTATCATTTTAATACATATGGGTCATTCCATGGAAAATTTTGATTCAAAAAATTTTTTTTTGTCTGATACAATTTTTTTTTTCGAAAACTATATGAAAAATAAAAAAATACGTATTTTTTTTATTTTTCATATAGTTTTCGAAAAAAAAATTTTTTAATGAAAATTTCCCGTGGAATGTCTAATATATATATATATATATAATTATTGTATATTATGAAAAGAAAAATAAAAAAAAACATGTTTTTGACAAGGTTAGGTTAAATTAGGTTAGTTACACTTGACGTGGAATGCACCATCGCTATCTCTAAACTCTAGGACATAGATTAAAACGAACATAACCTCAAAAATCAAGGTCCTTGGTCTCCAGGATTTAAGGTCATAAATCAAACATAACCTCAAAATTCTGGGGCATGGGTTTCTAGCATTCAAGGTCTTAATTCAAACATAATCTCAAAATTCAAGGTCATAGGTCAAACATAACCTCAAAAATTCGTTAAGGGACTACAATTTTTTTCAAATTTGGAATTATTTTTTAATATATTTTATAGACGCTTTGAAAACTATTTTTTTTTTTTTTTTTTTTGACTTTTTTCTTTCAGAACAGACAAAAATCTCTACAATCGTAAACTTTTTTCAATTGTTAAAAATATTTTGTTAAAAAATTATTTAATAGATAAATTTTGTATTATTTTTAATTTTTTAACAACATATTTTTAACAATTGAAAAAATTTTACGATTATAGAAAATTTTTCACTTAGTAAAATATAATTATTGTTTATGAAAATTGGATTTAAATTGTAATTTTTGTCTATTCTGACAGAAAAAAGTCAAAAAAAAATTCTTATTTAACAAAATATTTTAACTCTCAAGATAATTTTTTTCAAAAAAGTGTAGATTTTCTAAAAAAATTTTGAAATTTATTTATTTTTTTTTGTTTGTGTGAAAAATGGTTTTTCAGTTTTGAGATTATGTTAGGGCTTCCATTCTCCTTATTTTGTCAATAAATTTTTTTTTTTAAATTATCTCCATGAGAAAGCAAAACCTTTATGAATTGAATACAATAGTATATTATGTGGCAAGCACGTAAAGTAGTACTTTTTAGGTGAGGATGTAATTTTCAGTACGAGCTGTCGTTAGTGCGACGTAGGTGAGACGAAGGCGAGCTGTAGGTGAGATGAAGACGAGCCGAAGGCGAGTCGAGTCGAGCCGAAAGCGAGCCGAGTCGAACCGAAGTCGCACAGACAGCGAGTATTGAAATCATCCGAACCTAAAAATTACTACGTGCGAGCCACATACGCTATTTTTTTCGCCATTGTTATGAAAAAGTGAAACAATTTTAAAGAAAAAAAATAATAAAAATTGATAAATAAAATAAAAGCAAAAAAAAAAATTATGCAAAAATTAACAACTGCCTAAAAAAGACTTTATAGGGCAGTTTACTGCCTAAAAAAGACTTTATACGGCAGTTTGCTGCCTAAAAAAGTCTTTTTTAGGCAGTTGGCCCAAACTGCCTTAAAAAGTGCTACTTTATCTGCCCAAAACAGGCACAAAAAAGACACTTTTTCATGTCAATGGCGAAAAAAAAATTTATATTTTAACTTAGCTGCAGTTTAAACATTTTTTTTTCATAAAGTTCAACATGTGTAGTTTCAGTACAAAAATAGAAAAATGTCAACAACAAAAGAATATTATTCTATTTTTGTTTTTTATGCTGAAAGTGTATATTGTGAATTTTATTTTAAAAAAAATTAAAAAGTTAAAAAAAATGTCAATTTTTGAGAGAGAAAGCGAAAAATATTTTTGATTTTCCCAAAGAAGGGGTTAAATTTTGAATTTTTTTTTTTAAAAAAGCTCCATTCGAAAGAGCTGTGAAAAAAATATATGAGTCAAAATTTTTTTTGTTAATTTATTATATAACAGTTACGATTTTTCAAAGAATCCGTTCACAATTTTGCTGTTGGATCACTTGAGAAATTTTTCCCCATTTTATACCTATATATAAAAATTTCTTAAGGTCACGTATATAATTTTATTCCCAGAAATTACTTTTTGCTTTCTCTTTGAATCGATATATAAAGTTTCACTTTCGGTAAATTAACGATTATCGTTATTTAAAAATGTATTAAATAAAAAGAATAGTCTATTGTTATTGTTAAGTAATTTTTTTTCTTCCTCAATAAAGTATAAGTGTAATATTTAGCTGATGACTTAATGTCTTTATGTAGTTCTTTTTTTTTTACTGTTAATTAATTTTTTAATTGTCTGCATTTTTTTGAATTGTTTTGATAAAAATGTATATATGTGAAAAAATTTTAGAAATTGTATAATTAAATTAAATTAGAAATAAGTATAATTTTGTGACTTCTTACCACACATATGTTATAAAATTATTGTTTACGTATATACTCCGTATGACCTCAGTTTTAAGCGTGGTAAAATTTTATTCATGAAGACAATAATTTATCATTATATATTTCGCATATACATCATCTATGTGACACCTGACTGTATATTCATTCTCATAAAATGAAGACCCTTTGGCCTATTACCGAGCGTGGTAAATGAACTTTAATATCGGTGAACTTTTGTGTGGAAAACTTTTTTTGCGATCGTTATAAATGTATAAAAATTTTTTTTTTTTTTTCGTTTTTTGCATCTAATGATTAAATTACTTGATAAAATAATTTATTTATTTATTTAATAAAGTATAAGCGCTAAAATAATAATGTGGAGAAAATTGTCAAACTATCCAAGCGTCATATAAGGTAAAAATAAAAATAAAACACTTCAAATTTTTTTTTTTTTATTGCTATAGCGGGGCGCATGATAATCCCATAAAAATCATTAGTTAAAATTTTCATTTTAAAGAATTTTTTTTATATAGAATTATTTTTTAGCCGAATTGTTATTTTTTGAATTAACATTTGACAGAATTTCATTTTAAACAAATTTTTACTAAACATAATTTTTAGGCACTGAATTTTATATTTGTCCGAAATTGCAAATGGCCGAACAAATAATAATCAACAGAAAGATTTCGGCGCGATATTTAAAATTCATCAATAAAAAGTAGTAAAAAAAAAAAGATTGTGATTGGTGGATTTTAAAAATTTGCTCCAAAATCTTTCTGTTGATTATTTATTCGGCCATTTGCAATTTCGGACAAATAAAAATTTGGCGTTTTTTAAGAATTCTACCAAATAAAAATTTATAAATATACAATTTTTTATAAATATAATTCAAGTTTCTAATAAATTTTTTATAATAAATTAAAAGAACTCTTCATTTAATTACTTGATTTTACAAAAAAAAAAATAAAATACCGAGGAGAAATTCTCGATGCAAAAAGTATATCGTGCCTTGTGTGCATATAATATGAAATAACAGATTTTATAATTAATTTCAATTTACTCTGGTTTGTGAAATTTGTTTTTAATCAAAACGAAAGCAAACGTGAATGTCTGCTTTATACTTTAGATTATAACAATAGTTTTCATTTCAATTGTTTTATTTTAGAAACAATATTCATTTGTTAATTTTAAAAAATATTATTTTCTTTTTTTCTTTTTTTTAGATCATCTTTATAAATTATAAAATAATTATAATTATAAATAATATAATAATAATAATAATAATAATAATAATAATAAAAATTTAATTTTTTTGAATGAGTGAAAAAAAAACTTTAAATTAACTGGTTCCCACGATATAGTTTTTAGGAATTAACGTCATCAAGAGTAAATTTGGTACATGTAATTTTTTTTTCTACTCAATTTTTATGATAAAATTTTGTTTCGCAGCAATTTTTTTTTTTTTTTAATTTTCTCAACAATATTTAGTTAAAAAGATTTTATATGAAATAATATAAAATTGGCAAAATCATCTCGATTTTGAGGGTAGTGGAAATTTTTGTTTGTTTTTAATAATTGATTATAGTTAGACTTAATTGATTCAAGGAAAAAGTCAGTGACTGACTTAAATGAAAAAATTTACTAATTCACATTTAGATATTACATGTTATACACGCCTTTTAAACTGTATAATAGTTTTTCTATTCTTATTATTGCCTTCTCATGCTTTTGATAATGAAAAGTTTTTCAATTGATATATATATGAGAGATTCTTTTTCAATCGCCCCAGTCCAAAAAGTCAATGCTCTAGAATTGGCTTCATACTTTGGTAAATTGTTGATGATAGTAATAAATCCCTAAAATAAAAACTCATTAAAAAAAAATTTTGTAGAAAGTAGAGGGGTATACCTGGAAATCATCTTCGAGGTTTTAGGTAGGCACCGCCTACTTTAATATTATGTTTCTCATAAAATTATTCTTGTCCCACTTTCATATTTACATAGCTCATGGGAAAAAACCTCAGCTTTCCAATGAAAATAAAAAAAAAAAAAAAATACCCGAAGGGGTGAAAATCGAAAAATAAGGGTTGATTTTGAAAAAAAGGGGGTGAAATTTTTTTTTCTTAAATTTCGTATACATTTTTGAAAATTACGTGAAAAATGCATTAAAATTCATTATAGATAAATTAAAATCCATTAACTTTTGTCATAGTTATACGGATTTGAAAATGACAATGTTACCTTTAATGTCAAAACTTCAACCCCTTCTACTTTCTACAAATATTTTTTTAATGAGTTTATATTTTAGGGATTTATTACTATCATATAGGACAACAATTTACCAAAGTATAAAGCCAATAACAGAACATTGACTTTTTGGACAAATTATGTAATTTTTAACTTTATGAAATGAAGGTCTAATGTAATGGTATATAATCTATAATCATCTACGTGTTTAATAATAAATTAGTTATAAATCAGTTAATGACAATGGGAATTGAGAGTTTAATTTTTCTAGTTAAAAATCAACTAAAATAAGAGTTAATAATATTAAATTATTAATTATTATTTTGCAAAATTTTCATCAAAAACGATTTTCTATATTACAGAATTTTTTAATATAACCAAAAATTCACTTCATAGAATTTTTATTTGTTCGATGTTTTATTTGCTCGAATTTTCATTTATAACATAATACGCATTTTTAAAGAATTTTTATTGGCAAGAATTTCATTGCATAGAATTTTCATTTTATTTTTTTAGATGAATTTTCATTTGTTCCAATTATTATTTGATATAATTTTCATATAACCGATTTTTCCCACTACAGAATTATTATACTTAATCGAAAAAGCATTTAACAGAATTTCTAATTGATAGAATTTTCATTTGTCCGAAATTGCAAATAGCCGAAACAATAATTGATTTCGGCGCGATTTTTAAAATCGCAATCAATCAAAAATTATCCATACAATTGTGATTGATTGATTTAAAAAATCGCGCCGAAATCTTTCTGTTAATTGTTTGTTCAGCTATTTGCAATTTCGGACAAATAAAAATTCTATCAATTAGAAATTCTGTTAAATGTTTTTTCAGTTAAATAAAAATTCGAACAAATAAAAATTCTTTGAAGTGAATTCTGCAAAATACTAATTCGAAGAAATAAAAATTCGGCTGAAAAATAATAATGACAAATATGAAATTCCATAAAATGAAAATTTTAACTGATGATTTTTAGAATATAATCATGCGTCCCTAAAATTTTTGATCGTTTAATCTATTGATAGTAATAATTGTAGTAATATATATTTGAATGATGTTACTTACTTTTCCTCTTGTCCAACAACATCTCTTATCAACCATTGCCTGACAAGCGGAAGCTTGTGGTTGCGTTCGATATTTCCAATCCAATTTGCTTTTATGCAAATAGAGTGATAATATTGGAACATCAGTAATTTCCGTTTCGTGACCACCTGCCTCTAATAGAAGTACACTCCAATTTGGATTTTCAGTTAGTCGATTGGCAACAATATTACCCGCTGACCCTCCACCAACAACAATAAAATCATATTCTTTTCGTAAATTTCTCGTTACTTTTGGATGTCTCTCAGGATCGACCATATCATAATTATAATAGGTGATAATGGCAATTAAAATTGAAATAAATATTGGTTTTGCCACTCCAAATATTAAGGCTGCCGCTTTTAATGCACCAAATGATCCAGCTAAAATAGCCATAATTTCGTCACATTTGATTTATTATACACAAGTATTTTCTTTTTTTTTTTCTTCTTCTTTCTTTTTTTGTCTTTCATTTAAAAGGCCACCAAGAATAATTTTCTTCTTTGTGTCTCATCTGTGAAAATAATCAACTTATAATAATTATTATAGTAGAAAATAAAATGTATACAAAAAAAAGATGATTTTTTTAATTTTATAATGAAATGAAGTTCTTGTGAAATAGTTTAAGCATCAGGTCTAACAATTCAAAATTTTATCGTGTTAGGAATTATAATTTTTTCAAATTCTTTTAAACAACTCTAATTTTTAAAAATGTTAAATTATAACAATACTAAATTTTAAAAATTCTAACTTTTAGGGTTTTTGAAATTTTTATTATTTTAAATTTCAAACTTTAAACGATTCTTATTTTTGGAAATTCAAAATTTTAATTATTTAAATTTGTGAAAATTCTAAATTTTAACAATGATAAATTTTTAAAATTACAAATTTTTGAAATTCTAAATTTAAATTGTTGAAACTTTTGTGAAATTCTTAATTTTTAGGGTTTTAAAAATTCTATTTTTAAGAAATTCTAAATTTTAAGAATCATTAATTATGAAAATTCTTATTTTTAACAATTAACACTTTTAGATACTGGAATTTTTACTAATTCTAACTTTTAGATTTTTAAGAATTCTAATTTTTTAAAATTCAAACTTTTAACAATTATAAATTTTTTAGAATCGTAAATTTTGAAATTTTTTACTTTTAACAATTAAAACTTTTGGATATTTCAAATTCTAACAATTCTAACTTTTAAGGTTTTTATCTAGGAATTCTAATATTTTAGAAAATTCAAATTTTTAACAATTTATACTTTTAAAAAATTCTAACTTGTAGGGTTTTTGGAAATTTAATTGATTAAATTTCAAACTTTAAACAATTGTAACTTTTTGGAACAATTAACAATTCTAAATTATAGAAATTCCAACTTTTAGAGTTGTAAGAATTTTAATTTTTGAAATTCTAAATTTCAACAATTCTAACTTTTGGAAATATTAACTTTTAACAATTCCAAATTTTTTGAAAATTCGAACTTATAGGGTTTTAGGAATTATAATGATTGGAAATTTAAATTTTCAATAATTCAAACTTAGTTATGAAAAATTGCTATCATATTATCTCGGTTGTGTAAATTAAAAATTAATAATTAATAAAAGTTAAAATTAAAAAAATTCTAAATCGTGTAATTTGAAAATTTAAATGAAACTAAATAAAGAAGAAACTCTTAGTGAACAATACTCTTAAAAATATATAAATGGAATACACATGGAATATACTTACAATGGAGATAGTTATGTTAATTGTCAGGCAAATGTCTCTGCATTTTTTTTTTTTTGTGTTTTTATATACACATTTATATGTCTATTTAAATATGTTTTGTTTTAAAAGCCCTCCATAATATAATGTCATTCGTGACTTTTGCTGTAACCTGAAAACCACACAGAGAAATTTTTTTTTTTTTTTTTTTTTTGATGGTGAAACAAGATCTATGCGATGATGCAAAATACTTGATGTAATAATTTGCTTCAATGATCTTGTTTTCAATGTAACGTAATCATTATTACCATATAGTAATTGCTTTTTAGGAATTTTATTTTTTATTTGTCACGTGCATTTGAATATAACAAAAATTTGATATATTTTATTTAAAAATAAAAGTAAATACAAAAAATAAACAAATTAAAAAAAAAAATCGAAAATTTCATTTAATGTTACATTATCTAGTTTATTTTTCTTAATGTAAATTATAATATTTATATATATAGGTATATAAAAAGAAAAATAACGAACATTACTTTATGAAAAATATATTATATAATTTTTCACATTGAATTTTATTTTAAAACTTGAAAATTTTAAATACCTATATAAATTAAGTTACATATTTTGAGAAAAATTGAATGATTTGGAAATCGATTTTCCAATTTCTTCAACTAATATTAAGTATATAAATACAAACACTATGAAATATATATGGTGTTTCATAACAGTGTAGTGGAATTTATTTACACAATTAAAAGATTTTAATAGTGGCCTACATATGTATATATATATATACTAATTAATTATTATTATGTTAGAAAAGTCACAATATATATATATAAATTAACATCGTTAAAAATACCGAACTATGAATCATAGGAAATAAGAGTGAGTGGGATTTTTTTGGAATTTACTTTTTTTTGAATTATATAATAACTATTATAATTTTCCATTTATATATTATTATTTATTCTGTATAAAATTTTTTTTTTCGACAATAATAATTATCATTAATTAATAATTTGATGATGATAATAATATAATTATATGATTTGAATTTTAAAAAAAATTGATTATCGATATACCTAATGAAGAAAATAAAAATAATCTCTTTTATATTTTGAGACAAGAATGAAATTAATATTTTATGTAATAATAATTTGTCTTTTCGAATCGTTTCACTAAAGTATTAAAAAAAATTTCAATAAATTGCAGACACACACATATATTTTAGTAGAGAACATATATATATATATGAGATTTCTAAATAACACTTCTTTTATTAAAGGAGGGAAAGTACACATGTGCAAGAGGAATTATTAACGTTATTAGAAGGTGCAATTTAATTTTGAGTTGCTTGCAGAATGAAAAAAAATTTTAAACATTAGAATTTCTGTCAATTCTAACTTTTAGGTTATTAAAAATTTTAATTTTTGGAAGTTCAAATATTTAACAATTTGAACTTCTAACTTTTCGGTGTTATGGAAATTCTAAGTTTTAAAATTAAAACTTTAAACAATTCGAACTTTTGGAAATTCTAACTTTAGGGTTTAGGAGTTCTAATTTTTGGAAATTTAAACTTTTAATAATTCAAAGTTTTAGAAATTTTAAATTATAACAATATTAATTTTTTGAAATTCTGACTTTTAACAATTTAAAATTTTTAGAAATTCTAACTATTAGGGTTTTTGGAATTTTAATTTTTTAAATTTCAAACTCTAAAACAATTTGTAACTTTTGGGAATTCTAAGTTTTAACAATCCTAAATTATGGAAATTCCAACTTTTAGAGTTTTAGGAATTATAATTTTTGAATTTCAAACTTTAAAAAAATTTAACTTTTGGAAATTCTAAGTTTTGGCGTTGATGAGTTTTTATTTTTGGAAATTCAAACTTTTAAGAATTCTAAATTTTTGAAATCATAAATTTCAAAAATTCTATGAATTTTAAAAACTCGAAACTTTTGGAAATTTAAAATTTTAACTATTTTGACTATTGAAAATACTACCTTGGTTTGGAAATTCTAATTTTTATAAATTCAAATTTTTAACAATTCGAACTTTGGAAATTTTAAATTTCAACAATCCTAAATTTTGAAAATTTAAACTTTAAAAAAATCCCAAATTTTGGAAATTTTGATTTTTATCAATTCGAACTTTTGAAAATTTTTAATTACAACAAATCCTAATATTTGAAAATTCAAGCTTTTAACAATCCTAAATTTTGGAAATTTTGATTTTTAACAATTTGAACTTTTGGAAATTTTAAATTACAACAATCCTAAATTTTGAAAATTCAAACTTTTTTAAAATTTATTTCATTTATTTTTAATTTATTTAAAATAAATAACTTTAAATAGACTTAAACAATAATTATTTAATTAAAAAATTTTTTTGTATTTAACACAATATTCAAATATATATATAACCGATTGAATTCAAATGAAAATTTTTTTTCAGCCTAGTCATCTTATTTCTGTCACAAATCATTCAGTTGTTACTCTATTTTTTCTTTCTAGACGTGATGTAATAATCATTTATTGTGCAGTTAAGGAAGAGGAAATGTCATTTTGTGTATACCTAATGTGAAAGCATTTCACAAATTATGGTTAAAAGTGTATTCTTTGTCGTGTGATGTGAGTGTAAAGCATACCAAATGACGGATTTAAATAAATGAAAATAATCTTGGTATTTTCTAAAAAAAAAAATTTTTTTTTTTTTTCAACACATTTTTAATAAGAAAATTTCATTTCATATCATATATAAAGATAGAATCAGACATTACTTAATTTTCTCTTTCGTAATTGCACACACATGTGAGCAATAGTTATAATCGCACTCAAGACTTATTACCTTCTTTTAAAAAAATTTTATAATGATCTATAAAAACAAAAAAAGGAAACACAATTATTGAAAAACGTATATCAAATTTATATGCGAGAAAAATAAATCGGAATAATTATTTCAATTTTTTGGAAATTAAAAATTTTTTTTAATTTTCACAATTTTGTTTTGTATTTAACAAATTTTCGAGGGAAAAATGAAAAATTGATATATAAAAAATTAACATTTTTTTTGTATTTGTATTATATGCATATTGATATTTTTTTGTTTTGAATAAATTGAAAATTGTTGAATTAAAATATAATAATTTATCATTTTCACTGATAGATTTATAATAAAAAATTTATTTTTGCATTTAAAAAAAAATTTTTTTTTGACACTGATTTAGAAAAAAAGATCTAAATTTAATTGTTTGAAATATATAATATGTTCTCTGCTAGAAAAATAAGTAAACAATGCTGATGGAAGATACTTTTAGAAATTTATACAAATTTTAAAAGATATATTTGTTTTTCGTTGAAATATAATCGAGTATAAATATTTTTGAAAATAATTTCTTCAATGAATTTTATATAGAAATTTCTATAAATATATGTATAAAAAATTTTCAAGGATTCAAAATTTGTTCCCAAAAAAAAAAAAAATAAAATAAAATAAAAAAAAAGTGCAATAATATGAAAAAATTGATGGACTTACCAGTTTAAGGTTCCAAATTTGAAAATTAAGTCACGTGACAAACACTATAAAACGATTATGTAGCTCCTGGAACTGGAGAAAGCGAAAGACTGAGACTGAGAACATTAAGTTGAACGTATAAGCCGTATATCACTACCACCTCTCTCCAAAACTGAGAAAAAAAAAAAACCCATGTCATATATAATTGCATATATTCACAATATAGATCGTAAAGGGTTGCTTTAATCATCACCTAGTTTAAATTTGCATATTATACACATATTTGCAATACTATAAAACATTTAAAATTGAAATTTTTATTTCATCTTCTGTTCTCAACTTGAAGATTTCAATATACTTTAAATATATATGTTAATTTGCATATCAAATTGTAATTAAATTTTATGGTTTAAAAATCTTTTATAGTTTTAGATTTTTAATTAAAATTCAATTTTTGTGTTAAAAAAAATGAGAAGGTATTATGTGTGCCATTATGTACTATGATCTTTTCTTAATAACTTTTTTTGATTTATCAAAAGTATTTTTTTTTTTTATATTCTTAAATTAGTCAGTTTTTGATATTTATTATTTATTTTTTTCCAGTAAATAAAATTAATATAATAATAATAGTAAAATAAAAAAAAAAATAATAATAATACAAATAAAAATAATAATTAATTTAAATTTTGTAAAGAATTTTCTTAGAAATATATTTATTTTTTAGACAAATTTTCAAATTAAAATTTTTGACAGATTTTCTTTTTATATGAATTTTTACAACAAAAAAAAAAAAATTTTTAGCTACCAAATTTTTGTTTGGCAGAATTTTTATTTTATAGCCATTTTCTTTACATGACTTTTTATTTAAAAGAATTTTAATTTAACAGAATATTTTCATTCAATCGAATTTTATGTGATTCGAATTTGTAAATGACATAGAAATTTCAATTCATCGAATTTCAAATTTGTCCGAATTTTGATTTGTTAAAATTATTGAAACGCCAAATTTCCATTTGTCCGAACAAAAAAAAAAAAAAATTGCGCCGAAATCTTTCTGAAAATTTTTTTTGTTCGGACAAATGGAAATTCGGCGTTTTAAAAATTTTAACAATTAAAAAATCGGTGAATTGAAATTTCTATGTCATTTAAAAATTGAAATCACATAAAATTCGCGATTATGAATGAAAATATTCTGTTAAATTAAAATTCTTTTAAATAAAAAGTCACGTAAAGAAAATAATTTTAAAATAAAAATTATGCTAAACAAAAATTTGGTAGCTAAAAATTTTGTTATGTAAAAATTCATAAAAAATAAAAGATAAGGGAATAAGATGATTAGGAGAAATTAGTATTAAAAGTAGATTTTTATTAAACTTTACTTACAATATTATTATCGTAGATTTACCGCCGATGGTTGATCATAAAATTTAGACTTTTAACACATTAATAAAAAATTACACACAAAACAATGTATATATATGATACAAATTTTAAGAAAAAATAGATTTTACGAATTTCGAAGCCCAAAAAATTGTTCAGTTATGCGGAACTGATTTTAAAATATTTAAACATACGGAACTCGAGAAAAATTTGAAGCTCTAGATCGAATCGAATTATGAAACTAAGTCCCCCCAAAAAAAAAAAAAAAAATTGTACTCAACAAAAGTCTGAAAAAGAACTAACTGCAAAAACTGAGACTAACACCCTCGCAACCAGGGAAGCTTCTTCCATTTTTAAAAATTTTTCATTTTGGATTTTGGAAGGGATAAAATTTTTGGTAGGACAATGTAGGGGAAGGTCCCAGGAAAAGAGGAGAGTTGCAAATTGGGGAAAACCCAAAATTCGTGACGTCACAGCCGAGAGTCTGTGAGGTTTATTTATCCTTATAGATAAGATTTTGCTAAATCCGACTGCCGATGATTTCAATTTGTAAAAATGAATTTTATGACCTAACCCATAGTTGAGGCCCTTTTCAAACATCTCTCTGGCATGATTTACCAAAAAGATAATAATTATGATAAAATAAAATAAACAAAAATCTACAAAATGTAAAAAAAGAAATGTTTCTTCCAAATTAGAACGAAAAAAGTATTATTTGTATATAATTTTGCACAAAAAATATGAAAAATGAATTTTAATCTCAATTCCCACTTGGAAAGATTTCCCGGAAAGTGAGGTTCTATCGGAATTCCGTCGGAATTCCATCGGAGTTACAAAGAATTTCCAATGGGATTCCGACGGAGTCCCGCGGAATTAGGACTCTAAAAATTGTGAAAAAAATAATCGGAATTCCGTTGGAATTTCGTTAGAATTCCGTCGGAATCCCATCGGAAATTCTTTGGAACTCCGATGGAATTCCAACGGAATTACGTTAGAAGTTCCGGCTATTTTTTTAAATGATAGCCGACTTTACACCGCGCATTTCAGGGAAATTAAAGTATTAAAGTTGTATTTTATGTTTTTCTCATAGTTTTTTTTTTTTTTTTAAGAAAAATTTCAAAAAATCGCCGACTTTACACCATTCTCTAAATCTGAATTAGCGACTATTCGCATTAAATTAGTGACTATTCGCTTATTCTATAAGCGCAGAGTATTCAGCTGGGAATAAGTGAATAATCACTCATTGAAAATTCGCTTATTATACTAGCGAATAGTCGCTATTTTAATCAGCCCAGAGTATGCAGCTATACGAATAAGCGAATAGTCGTTAATTCAAATTTAGAGAGCATTTTACCGTATTTTTTATTTTAATAAATTATGCTAACAAAAAAAAAAAATAATAATTTGATTGAGCGCAATAAACTTTCGATTGATTCAAACAAAAAATTTAGTTGTTTTAAATAAAATAAGACTATTTAATGTCTATATAATAATTCATTTCTTAATTATTTGTAACTATTTCATCAGTGAATTTTCACTGATTCAAATTTAGAAAGTGTATACATAGCTAAACTTTTATTGCGGATCAGAATAAAATGATTAATAAATTATACAAATATTGAAATATTAAGTATTACAAAAGTAAAAAGATTTAATATTACACAAATATAGATAAATATTTCTATATAATTTCAAAGACAAATATTTTTCTCCGTTGTGGTTATTGATTTAAAGAAAAAATATTCTTGTCGGGGGATCTAATTTTTGAATATTTAATTATTTATGTGAAATTTTTAAAAATTTAATTGTATAGTATAAAGTTAATTAATTTGAATTATTTTTTAAATAAGAGAAATATATATATATATATATATTTATAGATAAAAAAAATTAATTATAATTATTTTATTTAACTTTAAAATGATATACAATTGAAATTGATTAGAGTCAGAATGACAGCTTGTCATTCTTAACCAAATTATCAAAAATCAAAAATTCAAGTAAATTTTTGTTATGGGAGTCATATAGAATAAGAAAAAAATTTGGTATGATTTTTAAGTCTGTTTTTTTTCAAATGCGAGACAAAATACTGAAATAAAAAAAAAAAAAAAAAAAAAAATTTCAATTAGTTCAACTATTATATATCTACTACAAATTTTTTTCAAGTTTTTTCATTCCTTAATAGAATAATATACTTCAGGAAACTTTTTTCTTAAAACTTTCTTAGAAACTATGCTGTCCCCATTTACCCTGAATTTTATAAAATTTTTTTAAATTTTATGGTAAATGGGGACAGTTAGTTTGATGCGTTTAAAGCTTATCTAAATTTTTTTCCCATTTACCTCAACTGACCCTAAATGTTTTGTTAAATTAATAAATTTTTTTTTTGTATATTTTTATTAATTATTAATGAAATTAGAGTAAATAGAAAAATAATGACGGAAAAAAAAAATAAATTTTTTATTTTTTTTTAATAATTTTTTTCTCTGTTTTGAAATTTTACTTTAAATAAAATATGCACATACCTGTGCGTTTCGATGATAATAATAATTATGTTCTAATCAGGGCAATATTAAGAGAAGAATAAAATTAAATTTTTTAAATTAAAAATTTTTTTTTTAAATTAGTAGTCATTTTTATTAATTTTTAGTAAAATATTACCTTACTATTTGATTTAGTAATATTTTTTTTTACTAAAGTTTTAATTTGACAAATGACTAAAAATTAGTATAAAAATTTTCACTAATTAAAATTAGTAAACAAATTCTCACTAATTCAAATTTAGAGAGTGAATCATTTTTTAATTAAAAAAAAAAAAAAAAAAAATTTCAATCATTTTTCATTTTCCAAAACAAAATGTTTTTTTTTTTTTTTGTTTTTTAAAGAGAGAATGCACATAAAAAGATAAATTTTCTGAGCAAGAAAGAAAAACCTTTCCATCTCATTATTTCGAAAAAGAAATAAATTTGATTATAAAAAGTAAAATTAAGAAGAGCTTTGTATTTATGTATATAATTTTATTGTCAACTCACTTTTAATTTAGAAATTGGCCTTTTCCGTTCCATCCTTCTTTCATGGGGCCCTTATATTAATCAACTTTCTCTTGAAAAATTGATAATATTAAAAATTTGTTTCTACACACTTTTTAGTTGCAATTGGTTTTAAAAAGTATAGATTTTAATTTATTTGTTTAAGAAGTTTAAGTTTAAGAAGCAATTATGTTTCTTTGTAATTATTAATTATAATTATTAATTATTTAAATTAATTAATTTATATTTTATAATTCTTTGATTTGAGTATACGAAAGGGCAAATTTTCTTTTTTTGTAAGCCCATTTACATGTAAATAAATTAATAAATAACAATAATAATAATAATTAGTAAGACAAATCTTTAACGTAAATTGCAGCTTAAAATACTTGTAAATTATTAAAATTAAATAAGTTAAACTTGCATTTACAATTGGATTTCTTTGGAACATTAAAGAAAACACTGGTAAGATCATTTTAGCGTTTAAGTGATTGAATTTTAGATTGTCGCGTGAAATTTATTCAATTATTATTTAATAATTTTTTTAGTTGTAAAATTATAAAAAATTGTTCTGAAAGAGATTTATTCCTCTCATTTTCCTTGACATTTTTTAAAAAAAGTAGACCTCAATCCGATTATTAGAACAGAAGATATAGCAGTTTAAAATTTTTTGTTATTATTGCAAATCTCGTAAACTAACAAATATTTTAAGCTGCAATTTACGTTAAAGATTAGTCTTACTATATACAACAAAATTCCAAAGTT